CACTGGAGGTGGAAATGAGCCGGACTTAAGATGCTCCTGGTGTAGGTCTCTCAGGACAACTAGACAGAGTCTGGGAATAATGTCTGCAGTACTGCTGCACTAAAGAACATGGTAGTACAGGGTTTAATGTACTTTAACTAATTAAGCCACCAGCTAGATATTATCGTTTTATTCAGTCATTTCACAGTTTCATTTGCATTGCATAAATATGACAATATTATAACATAAAAAATTTGCAAACTAATTCTTGTTACCTTATCAGTTCACTGTTGCTTTGTCCTTGTGTTATATATGCTTTATATGCTAGTGTACTCCTAAACATTCAGTCTTTCTCCTCCATGAAAATGAACCATGAATATTGATGACTCATCCTGCACTACACAGAATTTCATCCAATCAAATGCTCTCTAGGATGAGAATGTCACTTCCCTGACTAGCAAGTAGAAAATCATGATTCATAGCTGTGATGTAACTTAAGCCTGTTAGCTATTTAAAAATTAAAAGACAAGCCCCTTGATATGTCCAAACTTCCTTTTTGAATAGGATATATAAACACAAAAAAGAAACTGTGAAGTGAATTATTTGTGCTTTTAGTGACACCAAACAACATTTAAAAGAGAATGATTATTTTCAATAAAGAGCTGAATACTCCCATTTGCTATTGGTCAATCTAAATGATAGCCCCGCCCCACAATCACACCATTGGTTGTGTCAGTGTTGCTGGGCTGGGCTGGTCAGGATGCTCAAACAAATAGCGCCACTGTTTACACTTTCTGGGGAAATAAAACTTCCAACGAATCATTTATTATTATTGTTGTTATTACATTTTAAGTTGGGGCAGGAGAAAGTATTTAAATAAAAAATACACACATTAACTTTAAATACTCACCATTATGAAAATTCCCACAAGAATCCAATAACATCAGTCAAAGTTACATGATCTATGATGAAGCTTAGAGGACCTGACGGGCTGGAATCAACTCAAGTAATGTTCACTGACATTTGGAAAGAGTAAGTTGATTATCTTCTTGAGCTGTAGTGTCAGCATTCCTCCATCTAAACATATTTATGGAGGAGAAAGTGAGATAAACAAGTAAACACAGTAGATTACTTTACCAATGGACAGATGGACAAGAAGGTAGTATGTACTGGACAATTTGGGGAAAGTTCACTGCTCAACCACCAAAATGATCTAGAGATTTACAAAGTGACTTTATATTCCTCCCTACATATAGGGTTCTGGCTTCATGATGTCGTATCATGAATCCTTACAATGGAGGCAGAAGGATTGGTGTGTGGTCCTTTCAGATATCTCTGCAGGCAATCCCCAGTCCACTCAGCCAGCTGTCAAGGTGAGACAGTTTTATATGTTGAAGCTCCAATGCCCTTGTCCAATTTCACTTTGTAGTGAATCTGGGCTGAACATGCCAATCCTCATATTACCAAACAAATTAAATCAGCGAACTTGGAGGAGAAGTGGGGGGAGGTCCTGTCAGACGCACCACAGCCTCTCCTCCCAGCCTGCCAGGAGATCAGGGCACTCGGAGAAGAGCTTGGTTAATTGGTTTAGGACGTGAAGTGTTTCTGACAAGCACCCAAAGACAGAGGAACTGCAGAGAATGATCTCAGGAGGAGCGCTGGTAAAGTTCAGGTAATGAAGCTAATACTTCAGCAGAGGTTCATTTCAGAGCTTTGCAGTGCATCGTTTAGCCTCGCCAAACAAAATGACACCTTATGTACCTCTCCAAGCAGCTTGTCAGTGAAACCAAATTGTTGTTCTTGGTTTAAGAATGAATGTTACTGCAATGGACTTGAATCTCAAATACTAACATCTTAACTCTACATAAGCTCCAAGGACAAATTACAGACCATACTAATGGGGCAAAATGCCCAGGGCCTCGTCTGGAAACAAGCTAACTGAGATGTACCTGAGGAGTTCTTGTCTACAGTATATCAAGGTTGTCCAGTCCTGCTCCTGGAAGGCTGCCTTCCTGAATAGTTTAGTTCGAACACTAATTAAACATCTAAAACCAGCTTCATGGTTACAGGGTTAAAGCTGAACTCTGCAGGAAAGTGGCCCTCCAGGAGTAGGATTGGACAGCCCTACTACAGACAGAGCTGAGTTTCTCATGAATCTCCTTGTATTTACAACTTTTTGTCTTGTTTTTTGGATATTTTTCAAGAGGGGTCCTCCAAATGGGTTGGTGCCCAAGGGCATCACAGGACTATATGGCATTCTCGATCAGCTCAACTGTTCCCGGTACTAGCACGTGGCGCTCCTTCAAATGACTTTTACCTGGTAATGCGCCACAGAGCATCACCTTGAAAACTTTTGCCATTAATTTGCAACAGCAGAATATAGCGGTTGCTCAACTGTATGAGAATTCTGCTATTCAGCAAAAACAATCCCAATTCAAATCCTGTGTAGAGGCGTTAAATGACATTTTCTTCGGTTCAAGGCACACTCGTTTAGATCGAGGATAAGACTCACACAGGATGCTGTAATTTGTCTAGGGTGTGAAAAAAAAGGTTATGTTTGTGGTTTATAGGTGACACATCCTCCGGACACATTCGCTCATGTCAGCTTAGTGTTTAGTACCCATATATTTTATCGTAAGCCTGCAGCTGTCAGCTCATAATAGGAAGCAAGGTCACGATCTCTAAGACCCTTCAAAATTCATTTATTTGGATATTGTGATTTCACACCAATGACTGAAAGGGGTCCGTAACTGTCTAGTTGAATTCAAAAATAATTGGACTTGCCAAGTAACCTTGGGTAAAACCAACTCCAACTGGTGTTTGCTGGAAGTATAGCGGACACCATATCGCACGAATGATTAAATTGGACATACTTCCATTCTAAAATTTGGCCAAATTAGTCCCAATATATTATCGAAGTTATTTTCATACATCACAGCAAAAAAAGAAAGAAAAAAAAGAAAACAGAAATAAGTCTGTCTAAAAAAATTGTCTTTAAATAATATTTTTTAATTATTTATTATAATTTTTTTTTTAACTAAAATGATCATAACTCAATTTTCCAGTAAAACAACAAACTTCTCTCTGATGTATGCTGAACTTCTCCAATTACTTGGAGATGTCAGTTTAAACCACATCATGTCTCTTATCTAATCAACAACTGAATTTAATTAAAAAAAAAAAAAAACATCTAAACACTTCACCTTTAAGGTTAATAACTGAAAAATTTTATTAAAGGGGTCATATGCGATTTAAATTTTTCCTTTCTCTTTGGAGTGTTACAAGCTCTTGGTGCATAAAGAAGATCTGTAAAGTTGCAAAGACTAAAGTCTCAAATCCAAAGAGATATTCTTTATAAAAGTTAAGAGTCAGCCACGCCTACCTAAAACGGCTCGTTCTAACACGCCCCCCAATGTCTACGTCACGATGTGGGAAGATTTGCATAATGCCGCCCAAATGTTCACGCAAAGAAAGGCATAACTTTTATTCTCGCAGTAGTATTGTTGTTGCCGCCACCATGTCGTGAAGGCACTGTGTGTTTCGTTGTGAAAGCGAAACTAATTTGTTTGGTCTTCCAAAAGAGGACGATATCTGCTTCGTCATGCCTGGAGCTGATCCGTGCTGGTTGCTGATTAAATACTACAACTTTGCGCTGTGGATCGCCGGATCGGCTTTCACCGTGGACGAAGCGGAGTCCAGATGACTGATGTCATCACGTGGTTGCCGCAAGCTCTCTGGATGCTCCTTTGTCGAATCCGCCACCTCTGCTCACTCTAGCCCTCCGGCCGTTCCTCACTTTATCCCCCGGCCTCTGCTCACTCTAGGCCACAGTGTGTGACGCTGTGTTTCATTGTGAAAGCGAAACTACTTTGTTTGTCCTTCCAAAAGAGGACGATATCCGCTTCGTCATGCCTGGAGCTGATCCGTGCTCCTAGTTTATAATGGGTTTTAATGTTTTTGAATCATCGCTCCGGTCTGACAGGGCATCATCACAGTATGGTAGGGGCGTAGCATTTCCGTCACACGCTTGAGGTATTCGGCCAATCACAATGCACTGGATAGCTGGCCAATCACAGCACACCTTGCTTTTTCAGACCGATGAGCTTTGTAAAAATCGATGCGTTTCAGAAACGTGGGGCATAGAGGAGAAACAATAATGTAAAATATGTGGAAAATAATGTGTTTTTTTAACCTTAAACCGCATAAACATTTCATTACACCAAATGCACAAAATAATGTTCTTTTTAGCAGCATCGTATGACCCCTTTAAATAATATTACTCCATATTCATTTTTGATTCATGAACATCACTCAATTTTAACAGATAGATGAGGTCATCGAGGAAAATTTTCTTCACTCCATCAATGTGCTGGCAGAAGAAAAGGTGGTTTGTTTGTCCTCCATGTGTCTGCCAATCACAGCTCTCCCTGAGGGTTTCCATCAATCAGTTTGCCCACATCCTCCTGCTATCAGTCTAGACATCAACGGGCAATGCGGCGGGGGCTTCCGAGCCACAGCAAGAACCTGACACATCTCTCACATTCAGAGTTAAATATCGCAGCTCTTTCATGTTCAGACATTGCAGTTGTACATCAGCCCCCAGGACTGTTTGGTAGCAAAGGACCTCAAAAGGAGGACAAAGGTGGGAGCGTACGGTCCCTGACTGATGTTAGAAAGAGGCTGGAGAGAGATCAGAGAAAGGAGGATAAGTACCTGCACTGTGCAAGCATACAGGGTGAAGCGATGGTTTATGGGATTGAAGCCAGCGCTGACAGCATGTGTAACTCAGAGAAGACGGCGCTTGGTGAGATATACTGACGGGGTGTAATAAAGAAGGAAAAGCAGACTGAGATCTGACCTGCCCAAACGGCTCCACGGCATGCTCTCACTCAGGTCCTCTCTTGTACTTCAGACAATCAGCAAGAGACAAGGTTATTCTTTCTGAAAGAGGTCTTCAATCAACCACCCACAAGGAGACGCGTCGCATTTAACCATGCAGGGCTACCATTTTTATGAAAACAATTTGTTTCTTGAAAAAGAGCATTTTATTAAAACAAAATGCATATTTACATTGCAGAGGTAACTATCCATAGGTTGGCACAATATTATGTACCTTTACAAAAGAGGAGAATGTATACAAAAATGCTTTTAGGTGTATCAGTGAGATACAAATGCTTTGGGACACTCCTAAAAAGGCAAAGTTGAAAAACTGAGCTGTAACAACTGTATGTGCTATGATTAACTAAAAATGAGCTAAATATAGAGCTACCCCTGTCTTAAGGCTCACAGGTCTTTGCCTTTCCAGAGTATTTTGCAAAAAACAAAAATCTATGGTTGACAGTAACACATGACGGCTTTAAACTGCACAAACCTGTAGAAAAGTACACAGCAATTAAGAGATGCAATGTCATTTTTACATGATGTACAAGGGTAAAAAAAAATATGCCCACATATAACTTTAAATAATGACATACTGACACGTAACAGCAAGCTGAACATTGCCGAGTGTTGATTCATGTAAATTAGATTACTAAATTTAAAAGGCTGCCGTCAGTCAGAGAGAATGGCGGAGGCGTAAAAGGAGAGTTTGATGGAAGTTGCATAACATGGGATAGCTGCTGCGCCCTCTTCCAGTGTGGAGCCAAAAAAAGGCTGCGGAAACAGTATTTTCTTAAAGGCTGTCTTGTACCGTCACACTTTAGCAAACACGACAGTCTCAACAAAAGCACCTTACTAAGCTCATCAGTTAAACAATAGTCCCTCTCCAACCAAACAAAGCTGATTTTAATTGCTGCATGTATCTCTTACCTGTGAATAACAGTGAATACTAAAGATCTTAAGTATTATCCTGTTCTTTTTTAAATTACAGTTTGTGCATTATTATATAACCCCTTCCGATTGTTAACTCAACACATTGTTTTTTAAACTCGTGGGACAAATTCATCAACTCTGACATTCACTTTCACAGTATCGCATTTCTCAGTGATCTGCCAGAGTTTGTTTCTATACATGCCCGTCTACAACCAAGGGTGCCAGGCGGGGTCCATGCGGCACAGGTTGTCCAAGCTGTTGGCAGCTGCCACTAGTGTATTTACTTTACTCTCACCACCCTCGAACTGGGCCAAGTTGTGGAGGCGGGTCATGATGGCAGTCACAGCTTTCTGGACCAGAGACACCAGCTGTTGGCTGTCCATGTTCTCAGGTTGTCCAGCTGAGGACAGAGGCATGGATGTGTCCTCCTGCGTCTTCTTGTGCCATGCGATGATCTCATCCCTAAGAACAGCTTTCAAGATGCCATCGACCTGATTGAGAGGATACACAGGTTTAGAGTGGGTCAAGAGCCCTGGAGACTGAAAGTGCAGTCTCATTTGTCATTATTCTCATTCCTCAAAAAGCGTACCTTGAAGTTAGGCTGAGCAAAGCAGCGTGCTACTGCTATCATAGAAGCCGTGAGGGGTCCAGATACACCGATTGTGGTCAGGAACTCTGAGATGTTGGGCGTCAGCCTGAACGGGACAGGCCGGTTGGCATCCAAATCACCAGTGGCATCATTAATATCAAAGCGGAAGTACGATACATTGAGTTTTCCAGTGTCCTGTTGGGGGAACAACACATCAGGATGGTGTTAACTAATTCAACTTTGAAAATCTGACCTTGTCATCCAGAAACTACAGTATGCAGACGTATCAAACTTTGAGAGAGGGAGTATCATGTGGCGCCAAGTTGTTAGTTTCCATTCAGAGAAACAAAGCAAAATCAAATTTGGGAAAGGAGCCTGTTTGCTCATGTGGGACTCAAGTGGGACCAACATCAGACAACAGCTAATCTATAGCACTCTGGGAAAACTGGATAGCGTTGTAGACATCCGACCACAAAAATGTGAGGATGTATTGATCCTACACCCACTGTGGTCTGTGTCAGCATTTCAGCATATGAACAAATATAATCTTCCATTTGCCTTCTGATGCCCTTGTTGTAGAGCGTCGTTTTTTTTTTACCAATGAATTATTTCAAATAACTAATGTTTTCAAGATTACCATTTCCAGTAGGGGTGTAACGGTACACAAACATGACGGTTCGGTACGTACCTTGGTTGACTTCACGGTACAGCATGGTGAAAAAAACTAAAAATAAATAGCTAAACAGTGGTTTACTGAACAAATTGCTCTTTCTTGAAATAAATACAATTATAATTAAAATTTTCTTAGGGATAAAAAAATCGACCTCAGCTGATGCTCTAAACTATAAGGAGCCCTTTTACATTACTATAGGTTACAATTAACAACAGATCCTGAACTTAAATTTAATTACTATTTATTTTTAAACATAATAATCAACACTGAACATAAATAAATTTGTATGCAAAATTGCACAATGCAGTTTTAAATTAACTTCTAAATTATAAAATTTCTATTTGTTGTTGAAATATATTCATTTACACAGTGGCTGTCATAACTTGTTTCAGAACTGTTTTTTTAAACATACATTAAATAACTAAGACATCACTAACAGGTTAAGTAAAATATGAGTATATAGTCTAATATTTCGCCAAATGCTCTTCTCTAGACTTAATTTCTCTAGCAAAGTAACGAGCTGTGGACACTGATGGCCTGAGGTAAATGAAACCCTACGTGACATTCTGTTTTGACATCTTTCCATGGTTGAAACACAGATTGAGCAATTACATGTTCATTTATGTTTATTTCGCATTAAAACTAGTAGTAAAGAACTGATTGCTCTGAGGTGTCGTTTGAGGAGTTTAAACAGTGATCTGTCACGCCACATCAAAGAGCGTCAAAACTGCATTTTTTGTTTGAATTTCCTCAAAAAAAATTGGACAATTTTAAAGATGAGACTTTATTTCTAATCAAAAGTAACAATATATAAAACTGGAAGTTTCCAAGAAGTTTCACTCATGCAGTAGTTGAAACAATGCTGTATTTGTTCGTGCTCTTGGTACATGCGTACCAAAACATTTTGGTACGAATACGTGTACTGTTACACCCCTAATTTCTAGTGTTTTGGGCGAGATCAGAGATTCTGTAGTTGTCTACAAGATGTTTATTAGTTTAATAATGATGAAATGTCACTCAAATATTGTTAAGCTCCTCCAAGCACAATAACAGTGTTAAAACAGGATTCAAGCTCAATATTTAGAGCCTGCACAGGACCAAACTCGATATCTGAAGTCAAACGGACTGGAAGTGATACACCAGGGAAATGCATGATGGTTTGTGAGTGCGTTATTGAGAGAGCGAGAGACAAAGACAGCACATATCTGCTTGTCCTCTCTGCCTGCCGTGGTAATCTCCTAGTGCCTAATGAGATCTGTAGAGTGGAACCGGCAGCAAGGGGGCTTACTATACCCACTTAGCCGCCCATTCCTCTGCCTGTCAGAAAACTGCAGATTAGAATCACAGGACGAGTTACTCGTTTGACAATCATTTATAATAAAAGACTCTATGGACCTGCACTCATCCGATACTGTACTAGATGACAAAGAATCATAAAGACAGCTGGAGAGTGGCCATCAAAAACTGAAATGTGTGATAACCCAACAAACTGCTTTGGACTTGGATACATGTATATTTGATGAAAGAGGGCTAGTATTAGTTCCATGACGTCAAGTCATTCAGGTACCTGTGCGATCTGCAGCATCTCCGGGTTGAGACGGTTCAGGTGCAGCATGAACTCAGCCAGGCCGATAAGAGCAAGCTGGATGGTGAACATTTTGCGGAAGGTCCAGTAGTCTGTGGCGTTGGGGAAGGTGTGTAGCGCCCACTCCTTCAACATGCTACGAGGAACCATGTTGCCCTGGACCTCCTTCAGAATGTCTCGCAGGACCTTAAAACATGGACAAAAATATATATTATAGTTCAAATGAAAGAAAAGCTATTTTAATGGTTAATTTACTCTACTGCATATTAGGGTAAATGCCCAGTTAATTTTCCCCCAAAATTAAAAGCAAAAATGACACATAAATATAAATATGTAGAAAAAAATAACAAGAGTATATATTTAAAAAAACTTTTAAAAAAATAAATAATTTTTTCTTGAAAAGCTTTCTCATATTATTCCCAGCATACCTGATGGCTGGCTTGGGTTCCTCTAGCCTGAACAGTCGCAAGTCGGTCATAATAGCGGGAAATAGGGTTGTCATGCTCAATGCCCTTCTTAGCACAACGCTGCTTGTAGATTTCCACCAGAGACAGAGACGATGGATTGTCCTCCACTAACCGCATTTGAGGAGACACCGCCACCACCCTTGGGACTGAGAAGAGAACAGATTTAAAGAGGATGTACTTTACTCTACACAAATCCCACTGACTATTTCAGCTGATATTCAAAAATTCTCTTTGAAAAGCATCTATTTGGCTTTGATAAAAGACTGTTAACCTGAAATACGACCTCATCACCTAAAATACTTCTAAACATTTTATCCCCGTTTATACAATCATTTTATTAACATAGTCATTTTTAAACAAGACACATTAACAGCTGTGAGAGGCCCCAAAAACACCTGTGAGGGAGTAAAAAGAAAAGCATGTCACACGACCACTGGGAGCCTCTCACACACATCTAATAAATGACTTCAGTGAAAGGCATTAATGAATGATAAAAATAGAATACGTACACAAACATCCCTAATGTTACTTAATGATTATTAATTGCACTGCAGCATAAAATCAGCCTCTTTTCTTTGCAGTAAAAAAATTAAAAAAAAGAGAACAGACAAAATGTTTCAGAGAAAGCTAAAATGTGGCACCCTTGACCTCTGAACTGATAGGGTTTCATCTTTAATGTGTCTATCACAAGAAAGACAATTTAGATCTTCCTCCCTCAGTCTCCACAGGGAGAAGAGCAACCTCATTGTTATTCATTCTGCTCCAGTCCCCTCTCTTTCTTCTTCTTCTGTTACCACTACATAGATTTTCTGGTACTACTTTTCACCTCAATCTTGCCTCTTTTTCTTCTCCTCTATTCTCCATCTCCCCCAATCTGTCTGAGAGCAACTAGGCCATTGAATCCAACACTCAGAGCAAATGGACAGCATTCAAATGGGGCAGCTCAGTACACATGCATGCCAAAATTAAAAATAGACAACTAGAGAATGGAAAGATTTTTTTATTCTAAATTTTATATATATACTTAAAAATTTATTGGCCATGAAAATGGAAGGTCTTGTCCAAAAGACTGACATAAATAGATGTAGTCAGTGCTATTTCAGGGGAGCATGAACATTTCTGTGTGATCTGGGATTGCTGCAGTACCTGTGAATATATATATATATATATACACACACACAATGTATTTATATTTTATTCTTTATAATGTTTTACAAATAATTTAATATGATTTTACTTTTTTTAGAAATAGGCTTAATCAACGTAAACTCAGCACACCTGAAACGACGATAGGTGTATGTGAACAAAATCAAACAAACAGTTGAATCAAAACCAAGTAACGAACCCGCACACTATCAATACTTGCTAATTCTTAAACTTTATTTATCACACGCAATGTTTCGGTCATTTCGGCACATTTGCCTGATGAAGGTCGGTGGACCGAAACGTTGCGTGTGATGAATAAAGTTTAAGAATTAGCAAGTATTGACAGTGTGCGGGTTCATTACTTATTTTAGAAATAGACTTAAAAATTTATTGGCCATGAAAATGGAAGGTCTTGTCCAAAAGACTGACATAAATAGATGTAGTCAGTGCTATTTCAGGGGAGCATGAACATTTCTGTGTGATCTGGGATTGCTGCAGTACCTGTGAAAAAGAGGTGTCTCTTGGTGGTCTCTTTCCTCTTCTCCAGGCAGGGGTTGAGTAGCCGCAAGAGTTGCAACACGCGCTCCTCTCTGCGGGACTCTGTCAGACATGCGTCATTCATCACCAAGTACGGATAGATCTTGCCGTTGTGCCCGCGGATGTAGAGACGTCGGGCAGCTGTGTTGTGCTTTTGAACAATCTCCACCCTGGGCATGAACCTTAGGAGGTAGAGTAAGAGGGCGGTGAGGCAGAGAATGATGGGTAAGTGATGAAGTAATCACTATGAATTAAGGTCTCAGCTGGAGTCTAGCTTAGAGCTCCAAGGGGAGAAAAAAAAAAGGGGGAAAAAAAAGTTAAATCAAAAACGACCTACGTGTTCAAGTTTATGTGTTAGGGACATGAAGCTACATATTTAAGATTGAGCTGTGGGCTGCCTGAATGACTAATCATCTAATTTGTTTTAAAGGAAATCCTTAATAATAAAATGTAGGTTTGGTTTTGCCTGAAATTTTTTTTTTTTAATAAAAATACATATAGAAATAAAATATAATCCAGTATCTTGTCAGTAAACTAGATGATTAGTGGGGCTGACTAGTTTTTTTTTTTTAGATTTACAGTTTGCTATATTTTGGGAAAATGTGTCAGATCAAACTAATAAAAATAAACTAATTATTCATGACTTACTTAAGACGGAGCAACTAGTCAGTTGTTGAATGACTAGATGATTAGTAAGGTTGACTAGATGATTAGTAGGGAAGATTAATTTGACTGACTTCATTTTTTTTAAATATTTTTTAATAGGTTTTGATATTTTAGCGGCAAAATGTGTCAAGTATAACCAAAACTTAATTATTCATGCCTTCCGTGAAACAGATTGACTAGTCCGTTACTAGATCACTAGATGATCAGTCGACCAGAGCAACTCCATCCCTAATAAAACTAAACTAATTATTCATGACTTACTTAAGACGGAGCAACTAGTCAGTTGTTGAATGACTAGATGATTAGTAAGGTTGACTAGATGATTAGTAGGGAAGATTAATTTGACTGACTTCATTTTTTTAAATATTTTTTAATAGGTTTTGATATTTTAGCGGCAAAATGTGTCAAGTATAACCAAAACTTAATTATTCATGCCTTCCGTGAGACAGATTGACTAGTCCATTACTAGATCACTAGATGATCAGTCGACCAGAGCAACTCCATCCCTAGTGTGTATCGATTGTTACCTGGCAATCTTGATGTAATAGTGTGTGGGCTTAGGCATGAGGAATTCTCCCGGAATCTCAACTTCAGCAGTCTGGGCCGAGAAGTTGCTAAGGAAACGGCATTTCTCCTCAATCAGGAAGAACTTTGGCATTTGCTTCGTCTTGGCTTCCAGAATCTTGATCCACTTCTTCAGCTTTGAAATGAGATTGTGAAGCTTCATGGAGCCGGGAACGCTGAAGTCAAAATCTGCGAACGGAAAGAGTGACAGGGCAAGGTAAACCAGAAGAACAGATAGGTAGCTGAGAAAAAAAAACAACAACACTGCAAAAGAACAAATGGAAAAGACTCCGGATGTGTGAAAGAGGTAGACATGGCGTAAAACTGAGAGATAGTGTGAAAGAGACTGAGAGAGGAGACGTTATCTTTGGATCAGGGAAACAGAAGTGGTGCACTTCCTCCCAGGTCTCCCTTGCGACGTGAAGGTGCTGATAACATCAAGGTTCATAAGGAGGGAAAAAAGGATTAACTGCTCAATGCAACTTCTAAATGACATTGCGCATTAAGTTAGAGAGCAGACACAAAAGGTATGGTCGGAATGCAAGCCACGTTCCCAATTTTAGAGACAACCTCCGGGCCAGAACGTCTTTATCAAATAGGCTAAAAGCTGCTCCACTTTCATTCTTCTGTTGTGCTACATTAATAATACCACATGCCGCAGATACAGAAACGGCTTGGCATTTAATTTCATACATTTAAGAGGAAAACCACCCTTGAGAAAAAAATCTCTTCGTATAATTAAGGCTTTGGCAGAAGAGGCTTTAATTCAAAAGCATCTTGCAATGAGCTGCCACTCATGTCAAAGCCAGTGAGATGTGGCCGCCACACATAATGAAAGGCCATTTAAGGAACTCTCGCTGCTTGCATGACACTCACAATATCGTCAATGTCCCGTATGACATTTTGATTAGCAGTGAACTGCCATGAGCAACGCAGCTCCCACCCATTTCCAGGCCCCGAATTAGAAGTTGTCTTCTAAAATCAGACACGCTCTGTAATCTCAGCCAATCCGACTCTCTCTGAAAGACTTTAAGACTGTTTAGGTGTTTAATGACCAGTGAGCATTAAAAAAAAAAGAGAGAGTTGACTTGAAAAGCACGGCTACGCACAGCGGTCGACTTGGTGTAATCAATTTAGAAAAAAATTAACAGACAATCCCCTGTAGCGGCGGTGCCCTGAAGCGAGGGTTTTTTCAGATAACGGTGCCTCCTGGGCAGCACGGTTCTTCTCTGATAAATGTAACACCTTTGTGGGTTCGAAATATGGATGGGTAGTACGGTGCGCTCAGTTTCAGCTTTCTCACTGACCCAGGATCAGCTCAACTGTAGAGGGATTTGAGCTCCCCGCTGCTGTGGAAAACAAAGTGTCTGCTCTCTGACCTGTGAATGAGATACACCGACGGCGGAAGTTTTCTGCACCTAATAATGCTTGGGCGGTGGAGGTGGCCAAGCACTAAAAATACCCCCCCCCCCCCCTCCCCATCGGCCGTCTGCCCGCGCTGCTCGCTGTGCAGCAGTCTCCGGTGAATTCTCTACTTTAAATTCCATCACTGAAATGCCTGAGTGAACACAGTGTACAGCACAACAGGAGCCCTGAAACAGCCTCGGCCCCGCAGACATGCTCTCGCTTTAGATCAATGCAGACAGCAACGCTTGAGAACAGCATAACCCTGCACCGCTAAAACACACGTTTCAGAAATATTAACACAACTAGTACTATCTCACAGTACTATTACTAGTATTATTTCCCAGTACTATATTCCACACAAACAAAAAATGTAGACAATTTAAGCAAATTTATCTGTTACTATTTTTTTTTATAAAATACCTAAAAGAATATTAAAATAAGTAGAAATGGAATTATGACTTCAGTGTTTTGAATAAAAAATTGCAAAGACTCATGCAGCTACGAAAATTTTTTTTGTGTTTGTTTTACTCATATTATAAAGTCTCAGCTTTCACAGTCGCATCACGTTGCGCTGCAACAGCTGAATGCATACATCCATTTGTACTGTTGTTGGAAGTAGCGCAAACATGTGGAAGCACATCGGAAATAGAATGAGACATCGAGTCAATGTTGGTGTCCCATGTCGGCTCCGATAGCCCTGTGGGCAGCGCGCTGACATGTAGCGCTGTGGGCATCCCGAGTTTGAATCCCATCTCGTGGATGGGACTACTTGCATAGTGTGATATATTACATGCAGTTGTGTACTTACGTTATCCCAAAAGTTCCCAAGGATTTGTAAATAAATAATGGCTCGTCCCTGGTCATTGTTGCTGATCAATGACATAATATCCGCACTATACTCAGTTTCCAGTAGAAACTATGGCAACACTTGGACAAAAATGCTGCTGTACAGTGAAATGAAAATGAAATGTGTTGACCGCAGCATTAAACTTAGATCTGCTCAATGTTGCTCCATTATTTTTTTTTACGCGTTTTTACAGTGTTGCGCATTATAATCAATCACACACACGAGTCTGTTCAGCTTATGAATGCAATGGCCAATCAGAGGCGTTCAGATGAGTTTTTTGTTCACTGCACGCACTTTGCTGACTGAATTCAGCTCTCACGCGAATTCTCTCATCATAAGCAACAAAGTGCAGATGTATGTATGATGTAAGAGATTCATTCATCAAACCGTGTATAGACAGCTTCACTGATTATAAGGAGAGTTTTTTGAGAGTGCTTAAACTCGTGCTAGACTGAAGTCAGTCATAATGTTATTTGTCAATGTAAATGTTCTTTGCTTGCTTCCTCTGTATAATTTATTCACTGTTTGAATAACCGTAGAAGGTACACAGGTAATAAAAAATTAATTCATTACCTCATCCATGAACATCCTCCTTCATAGCGTCATCAAGCTTCGCCTTTGTTACAGTTTTGAAAAACCTCTAGTGGCGAAAATATACATATTGTACCTTTAAATTAATCTTAATATGGTCAAATAACCTTTAGAGAGCATTCTTTTTTTTTGGGAAGGTCACATTTGATAAACAATAACATTTGCTCATGGCTTGATTGTGATTGAATTAAAGGATTCTTGACAAATGGTGCTGGAGTATGTGTTTTTTGGACATGTGCGTTGGAATGGAGAGCTTGGGAGGAGAAACCCCTAAGGAAGGGGAAAGAAGGATACAGGGAACGAAGCAGGCTTTGCGCTTTGCTGGTTCCCCTCCAAAACTCATTCCCAGTAGCACACTATTTCAGACGGGCAGAGAAGGTTCAGGGCGCGATGGCCACGCCTCACTGCCCAGAGACAGCTGGCACCACAACATCTGTTTTACACACTTACAACATTAACAGTCCTCTAAGGCCATGAACACACACACAGGCCTCCGGATAGAGCTTCATATGAAGCAAACGAGAGCACTAGCTCCAGGATTCAAAGTTTACTGAGGTGTAGAGACTGTAGGTGGACAGGGAAGGGAAGTATAAACATTCTGCTCTCCTGAGCAGAGGACAGCTGAGGGGGAGTTTGTTTTAACATACGCCTCGACTCACACATGCTCTGCTTTCTGAGAGCCAGGTCTACACCGGGGGTACTGGAAGGTTATTGTCAGGCAATGTGTACAAAACTAGCCTTAGGAAAGAGCCGTGCCAAGTTCTCCCCGACTCAGAGAGATTTAAACAAACATCTTGGGAGTGAAGGACATTTGGGATTTAAAGGTAAAGTCACAGAAAAAAAAAATACAGCATGAGGTTCCCTTCTTTAAAAAAAAAAGGAAAAAAAAGCCGACTATGATTTAAAGGTACATACATAGAAATGTGCCAAACAACTTGGAAACACTGGGAAAATGGTTTGGAATGCAGGAAGACAGGTGGAGCATTTGGGCACAAATATGTTTGCAATTTCACCTGGTACCAGAAGTAACGGAAATTACACACTTTCCCCTTTACCTGATTAAACTAATAATAATAATAATAAAAAGAAAAAATTAAATACAAAACATTTTGCCCCCAAATTTTTTTTAAACCAATCTACACATAATAGGCATGTGTAGTGTTTTTTGGTAAACATGTTTACCTAAAGCTGTGTAATTTCTTTACAGTCAACAGCACCTTGATATACGCACACATGGTTCTGCCCATAGTCATCTTCCCATTAAATCTAATCACATGGTTCACAGAGCCAATAATTCTCTGAGTCGGTCTGGTGGAGAGGCCTGTGGTTAACTCTGAGCAGAAGTGGTTATGCAGAACAGAGATGAGAGTGAGAGCATGTGTAATTGTGCACAGGGGATGTGATCCTACAAGTGCGCTGCCTGCAAGTTAGACTTCTGTCGACACTTCTGAGAGAAGTCCATGTGTGACAGCTCATTCTCAGTTCACTTGAATTATTTTATCTGTGCTTTTGTGTTAAATAAAATTAAACTACATTTGAAGACAACAGGAAAGAGCATTCGCAATTAACTAAACTTTTATAATCACAGGGGTTAAAGCAAAAAAAAAATCCTGAACTTTTTTCCGGGGGTTGGGGGTTGCAGGGGCAGACACATACACAGAGTTATTTGGCAAAAAATTATTTGATTATTATTTGACAATTATTTGAATGATTTTCCTTGAAACTAACTAGTAACGGTATCTGCTGTTGCCATTAGCCCTTGACAGGCTCAGACTACAGATTATGGTGGGATATTTGAAACAGCAATACCAAGAAAGTTTACTCACTACAATATGGTGCAAACACATGTAACATTTAGGATGCTTTTGATATTAAGTTTAGCTGGTTAGCTTTGTCCTTGACAGGGTACAAGATGACCTACAATCTAAAACATGACATTTCTGAAATTATTTTGTTCAAAAGAAATAATGGTAAATTAAATACTAGGAAATTAATATAAAATAGGAAATATACAAAGACAGTTTACTACAGAAAACTACAGTTCAGTACAACAACAAAAACATTAAAATGGTCCAAGAACTGGTAACTTAAACAGGGTTCGTACAGATATTGCTAAATAAAATTCCAGGACTTTCAAGGACTTGCACTACTTTTTTGGTTTTCAAGGACTAAAATCAGATCTCACTTATCAATCAATATTGTTATTATCTTTCAAATTCTAATAAACAAACTAATAAAACAAAATGGTACAAATAAAGTGCAGCACATGCAAAGAATGCAATGACTGTGGCAACTTTAACATTTGAAAGGATACTATGCCAAAGATATCGCTTTCCTTATTTAAACTGATTTGTTTTTCATTAATATATGATTGACCTGAAAAATGAAAGTGACCTCTTTCTTCAGTGACATGAAGAAAATGTCATACACTTGGAAAATTTAGCTTTATCACACTCATAGACTCTAGGGGTGTGACAATACACTTAGCTCGAGACAATGTTTTAATACTTTAAGAAATTTTCAAATGACAAAATATTTGTCTTTAAAAATCACAAAAAGTAAAACAATGCAGTTGTATTTTGAAATGTTTTAACTAATCTAGGGCTTAACTAATGATTATTTTGCTAATCAAGTAATCTACTGATTATTTTGACATGTGAGTAATCTAATGTTTTTTAGTAATATAAATAGAACTAAGTGGAAAAACTATATTTTAATATGACTATATTTATATATAAAGTAACAATGAGGCTAGGGCTGGACGATATGGCCTAAATTTATATCACGATATATTTATTAATTTCGGTCGATACGATATAATTCCGATATCGATATGAACACTTATTTTAAAAAAGCCTCGTAAAAACTGCCACAACAGATGTCTGTGCATACAAACTTATGAAAAATGAATTTGACAAGTCTTGACACCTCATATAAAACCATATAATACTTTGGGGAGAAAAAAAACCCAGCACAAATAAATGAATGTTCACCTTTTATTTGTATTTAGCCTTCATACAAACAAGAAATGTGAAATCACTGTCAAATAAACATCTCAGACTCACGCCATCGAAACTTTTCTGTTCCCTTCGGTTCCCTTCAGAGATACATTCATATAAAACTACCGCGCCGTGTTATGATTTTGAAACGTGCAGTGCTCATGTTTATTCAACGTCAAACACCACAAATAAAACACTGGGAAACACTGGTAATGTATATCGAAATATCGGAAATGTGTTTAAAAATCATATCACCGTTATTGAAAAAAATTATATCGCGATACATATTGATATTGAATTATTGTCCAGCCCTAAATGAGGCAATAATAATTGGCCTCAAATAAAGTATCAAAGCCAAGTACATGGTTTTATTGAACAACACTGTTAAATACATAATGTAATATGCCTATATTATAACAAATACCTGCAGAGGGCGCTAACGGCCTGGTGATGTTTCATGTGATTCAACGATGTTTAAATCCATTTCATTTTAATATTTGGCCACATCTAAAGTCAGAAACTTATTTTGAAATCGCGATATACAATAAAGTGCATATTTAGAAATATGTTGATGTATTCCCCTGTGTTGGCATAGGTTTAATAGTCTTGACTTGCATTACAAATCAAGTATGTTTTCCCAGATGAATGTTAAGCTACCCAAACTCACCGCATATGCAGAGGAAGAGTTTAGTACCTTTTCAAAAATACAGGTAAACGCATTCTGGCAATCATATCGTTCTTATGGAGATGACATGATTACTCTGAGCTGTTTACAAAGCTCCGCTGCTTTTTAAATAGCTTTTCTATGTAAATATGACGCTAGATGGAAATCTTTGACTGTTGCGCCTCACAGCTTTTTTTAATGTGTTGCGCTCGAGACCCAGGCTTCTCATTCATTCATAAGCTGTGACTCTGCAATTGAATACGATTATGCGCGTCTCGTGTTTATAAGAGCAAAAACTAGTAATGGCTAGTAATGTTAGTTTGGTTGAGAGGGGAAGCTGTTTTCCTCTCATACATTGGTAGTCGAACTCATGAACTGATTCAACGATGTTTAAATCCATTTCATTTTAATATTTGGCCACATCCAAAGTCAGAAACTTATTTTGAAATCGCGATATACAATAAAGTGCATATTTAGAAATATGTTGATGTATTCCCCTGTGTTGGCATAGGTTTAAATGACTTGCATTACAAATCAAGTATGTTTTCCCAGATGAATGTTAAGCTACCCAAACTCACCGCATATGCAGAGGAAGAGTTTAGTACCTTTTCAAAAATACAGGTAAACGCATTCTGGCAATCATATCGTTCTTATGGAGATGACATGATTACTCTGAGCTGTTTACAAAGCTCCGCTGCTTTTTAAATAGCTTTTCTATGTAAATATGACGCTAGATGGAAATCTTTGACTGTTGCGCCTCACAGCTTTTTTTAATGTGTTGCGCTCGAGACCCAGGCTTCTCATTCATTCATAAGCTGTGACTCTGCAATTGAATACGATTATGCGCGTCTCGTGTTTATAAGAGCAAAAACTAGTAATGGCTAGTAATGTTAGTTTGGTTGAGAGTGAAAGCTGTGTTCCTCTCATACATTGGTAGTCGAACTCATGAACTCGAACATGATATCAACAAGTGTTTTTAAATGTATGACGACTATCTTTTTTTCCCGCAGCCAAACGCCACATGCCGGAGATCCGGCACGGTGCCGGAGAACCTTAAGCCCTGTATAAATGTGACATTTCAGAGTAAAATAACAAATGTAGGGTTTAATTTTGAGATTGAGATTTGATTGGACCATGAAAATCCCGCTATGATGAGGATTCCCATAATTTAACCAATTAATTCCATGATTTTTCATAGGATAATAATTTTTTAAAAATAATTTCATAGATATCAGAATGATAAGAAAAATGTATATTGACTAATGTTATTAAACTAAAATAAATAAAAAATAATTTTCTGCTATATTCTGCAAAAACAAAAAAAACTTGTTGCCATGACAAAGAATTGAATAAGTTCAAGTTAATTTGCTAAAAAAAACTAAAAACAAAAAAATAAACAAAGCTATATAGAAATATTCAAATTAAAAGAAGCACAAGCTAAAATAAAATGAAAACAAAGCATGAACACTCATTCTAAAAATAATTCTATAGAAATATTTTAATAATTGATTGATATTGACTATTGAAATTTCCACTTTTTTATAAAAAAAATTATTTCCCTGTTATTTCTGTTGGAACACACAGTATGATAATGTTAGCTTATTATGTTAGCTTCAGATGTGGAGAAAGCTGCATTTCAATAAACTACAGCTGGAAAAATATAATTTAACTGAAAGACATATTTTCCATGTAGAACAATTTGCACAGAAATTGTGAATATTCTGACCTGTGGTGAACTGGCCCTTCATCTTCTGGAACACAGGATCTTGAGCGGTGGCTTGAGCTCGCCGGGCCAGGGACTCTGAGGCAGCGCTTGAGAACATAGTGGACACATTAGAGACATTCTCCAGGCCCACGCCGAACGTGCTGACCAGCTTTTTTACAAAGTTGAGCGTATGTGGAGTGATTTTAGCATCAGACACAGCTCCGCTCTTTTCGAATGCCACCGAGTAGCATTTTGCCAGCCCTTGCTGGAGCTGCCGCAGGACCTGTGGAAGGAAATGAGGGGAAAAATGAGAAACCAAGAGACGAGGATGAATGGTTAACGAGTCTTTATCAATTTACCATGAAGGATAACACCATTCCCACATATTCAATCCAATTTGCCATTTTGATAATACTAAAAATCCTTCAGAGGCAAAGATGTTCACCAGAGAGATCTGTAAAAGCCCGCCTCTACCGGTCTCTGCTGCAGAGATTAAGCTTAGACTTCAAGAGAAGAAGATCGCCATTAACAGACTAATTTAGACTGGGACTACACTTCATCAATGTCTGGAAAATTAAACCAACGTTTTACTTCACTGAGCTCTCTCAATGCCAATTTCTTTCATCCTCCAGTTCTCCTTGCTAAACTTTCTTTCCTCGCCCTTTCCCGTCCCGAGTGTCCCACAGGAACGGGGCTCTTGCGTCCCTGTCCAGTCTCGATGCATCACCGCATCAGCCCTGTCACGGCAATCCAATCTCCCCACGTTTGGTCTACACTCCCCTCACCCATCAATCACGGCGAGCCCCTCGCCAAAGCCCGATTAGCACTGGAGCGCCAATGTCCACCTGCGCTGCAAAACCACTTTTCAGCCTCACTGAGCCCCAATCGTTCCCCTCTGTCAGCTTTCATCTGCTCAGCTGGCCCTCTGAAAACAGCTACGTGTACGAGAGCATGCAGTGTTAGACTAAAGAACGTAAGCAAACTGGACAGAAAACGCATTCATGTCATGTTTAACTTGCGCTAAGGGCTGATGTGCTTTAAGAGGTAGCCACTCGCTTCTGGAATACAAAAACACTCGCTTTAACACATGAAACCGCTCACCTCCTCATGCCAGTTCTCTCTGAACCAGACCATCTGGTCCACGATGCCCTCCAGAGAGGAGAGCAGGGTGGGGTGGAGCTCACGCTGCATGTGCATGATCCGGCTGCAGCGCCACATGGGAGCAGTGGCACGGATGGGACCCGGGTCGGACGCTGAGTGGGTCTGGGCAGCCGCCGAACTGGGCTGCTGCTGGCCAGAATCTGGGGGAAACAGAAATGACAGCACATGAAGGAAAATGATGACTCTTGTAGGACTTTGTGTGAAAAAACTCCAGTCATACCGCTCTTGTAACGCTCCCTCTGCTCGATTTTCAGCGTCAGGTACAGGGTTCGGATCGGAAAGTACACCGCTTGAGGGTAGACACGTCCCACCTAAGAGAAACAGTCGCAGATTACATTTCAGATCGTCCCTGTGGGTTTGGGTCAGAGCGAGAGAAAGAAACGTAGTGCTGACATGTTTTGAAACTTCTCTGTGATAGTGCAGGCTTTTGAAAATGAAACCGGGGGAAACAGAAATGACAGCACATGAAGGAAAATGATGACTATTGTAGGACTTTGTGTGAAAAAACTCCAGTCATACCGCTCTTGTAGCGCTCCCTCTGCTCGATTTTCAGCGTCAGGTACAGGGTTCGGATCGGAAAGTACACCGCTTGAGGGTAGACACGTCCCACCTAAGAGAAACAGTCGCAGATTACATTTCAGATCGTCCCTGTGGGTTTGGGTCAGAGCGAGAGAAAGAAACGTAGTGCTGACATGTTTTGAAACTTCTCTGTGATAGTGCAGGCTTTTGAAAATGAAACCGTATGGGGAAAGCAATGAGATGGACAAACATCAAGGGCAGATTAAAACCATGGCTCAATATGACACTCGCTAAAAGCTTGTCAAGCCCTAGTGTACACTTTCTCCCTTTCAGAGAAGTGCTGTGTCCTTGAACAGCATCACAAAGAGAAGGTTCAGGCTGTTTAATGATGTAGCCCATAAACTCGTGTATTTATCAAAACGGCACTGATACGTTGGCACTATGGACAAATGTCTTTTTTAATTAACAGTACAGTAAAGCTTGTATGATTACAAGTAACAGCACAGTAACAGTATATTGATATATGACACATTTTTGCCAGAATACAAAACCCAAAATGTTACATAACCATGCAGCAAATGGCTATTTTTGATAATGCAGTAAATTAATTACTTAAAATAATTAATTGCATTTGTATGCCAATTGGAATCAAGTGAGGGAACCTAATAAATTGCAAATTCTGTACATTTTAACTGTACATATACATAACATTTTTATACATTATTTCATATTTATATATTAAAATTTAGTTTTAGTATTAAAACGATAGGTCTTCTGGGCAAAAAGTGTAGTTTTTAAAGGTCTTTAAAGTTGTGCATTGTGCAGCTTCCATCTGTCAAATGAAATAAAACCAAAAGCACAATATGGCTTAATCCCTTCATCAATTATGTTTTTTTTTTGCGCGTTTCAAAGTGAAGCATGGAGCCTCAGAAGGGCTCAGTTCACAGTGAATGCTGTGAACTCATTTATTGTATGTGCTGGGAGTTTAGCGCACATTTGGGAACGCAACGCCCACCAGTTTATGCTTTATTTTCACGGCAGATGATTGCAGCATTTCACTAGATTTGTAGTGAGACGTGTTTTTGTAAGCCTGTTTTTACTGAAGCTGGAGTTTTTCTTCAAAATAAACGCTCTACTGTGGTTTCCGTCAAAATAAAATCTTAAAAGTGCAGTATGAATTGCTGACAGCTAGCGGTTTAAATGAGTAAAGTTGCTGCAGTCCAAATTCTAAATATTTCTTTCAAGTGTAGAAATTAGGAAAGAAGTATTGTAATTTCCCCAATGTAGTGTAACGCAAAAATAATATACCTATAAAATAATCATTTTCATTTATTTTACAGTGCAATTGTTTTACAATAATATGGATATTACTGCCATAGGAATAACAATAATATAAAATTGTTGTTATTATATTCTAATTTGTTTGGCTTCCTAAAACACCAGTGTGAATGTAATTTAGATGGAGACAGTATACCACAATTAAAAAGAGGGTTGAGTCCCCTTTAAAATTCAGATACAAGTCAATTATTTTTTTCTGACTTAAGTTTTCTTAGTTAAGAACATGGGTTGGAGCTCTTCATTTTGAAATCTCAAAGTGCATTAGATAGAAGAATTTAACTTTTAAATGTACAAAATTTTGAAACCACGAAAGCCTCTAGAGGCTTCTTACCAATCCTATACAGTGGGGAAAAAAAGTATTTAGTCAGCCACCAATTGTGCAAGTTCTCCCACTTAAAAAGATGAGAGAGGCCTGTAATTTTCATCATAGGTATACCTCAACTATGAGAGACAAAATGAGAAAAAAAATATCCATAGTTGATTTTTTCACACCAAGCTGCTTACCTATTGTAGATTCAGTCTTCCCAGCCTGGTGCAGGTTTACAATTTTGTTTCTGGTTCTAATAATTGCTCCCACAGTTTTGGCCATGGTGGAGTTTGGAGTGTGACTGTTTGAGGTTGTGGACAGGTGTCTTTTATACTGATAACAAGTTCAAACAGATGCCATTAATACAGGTAACGAGTGGAGGACAGAGGAGCCTCTTAAAGAAGAAGTTACAGGTCTGTGAGAGCCAGAAATCTTGCTTGTTTGTAGGTGACCAAATACTTATTTTACCGAGGAATTTACCAATTGATTCTTTAAAAATCCTACAATGTGATTTTCTGGATTTTTTTTCTCATTTTGTCTCTCATAGTTGAGGTATACCTATGATGAAAATTACAGGCCTCTCTCATCTTTTTAAGTGGGAGAACTTGCACAATTGGTGGCTGACTAAATACTTTTTTGCCCCACTGTATAACGCAAATGCCAAATAAAAAAATAAAAAATTCAGGATAAATAACAAATGGAAAAATATTGCAGATGATTATGCTTAATAAATCATGAGAAGCAGAAATTATAATCACAATTAAAATATGATTAAGTGTGCAGTCCTATAATATATACATTTTATTTAATACTATTATTTATTTACTCATCCTCCACAGACAGTCTACACAACTACCACTTTGATGCATCAAAAAGTTAATAAAGAGATCATAAAACGAATCCATAGCAGTTTACTCCAAATTGTCTGAAGACATTTGATCGCTTAATATGAACAGGTGAGTGTATGACATGAGCGTGAGTAAATGATGACAGAAGTTTCATTTTTGGGTGAACTATTCCTTTAACAAATGGCATGAATTTTGGGCAGTACTATGTGTTTGAACTAGCTGATAACCTGTTTAAAAACAGCACTTATTTTTGCTTTTCAATTTAATGCTGCAGATATTGCATACCGCTTATTTAAGCTGCAGTCAAAGAACCAATTTGTGAGGCCTATTTCACAGCTTTTGAAGAAAAATGCCCCCAGTCTTTATAGTTTAAATCTAACAGACAACGAAGTCTGACTCATAACCAAATCTTTAGATCCTCTTATTGTTATGTAATAGTCCCAAAAACATGCTTATCAACTTGTTCCTCTCCTCTTTCTCCCCTGGCACTGCGATATCCGTGGTGTGAATGTTGTCCGCATCAGTGTGTGGGGGGATGAAGACCAATATGGAGGAGGCAGACAGCACTCCTTCTCAAACCGCCCGCAGCCCCTCTCAGGTCTCACAGCACCTAGCTCAAGCAGTCCATTAGAGTGGAAACACGATCTTCGTCAAACAGACGGCAGAAAGCAGGCTGGCCTTTAGGTGTAAAGAGACACCTCGGAGTCCAGATGGGCTTTTACATGAAAAGCAGCCATGGCCAAGACCTTCTGTTAAGAGCTTGTTAAGTATCGCATTAAAAATGAACGAGGCAACGGGGGACAGATCATCCCTAAAATTGGAGAGAAGTCTCATCATATTTTAGGGTGTGTGCGCATGCATGTGATGGGTGTGTGTGTGTGCATAAAGGTGTTAAGAGTTTTTCTCGCCTCGGTTTCATCTCAAGGCACCCCACAGCTCACCTTCATCAATATTTCACCAAACGTTTTTAAAACATCCCACCAACTGGAGCACAGCTAAATAATTCAGAGCCTGAGATAAAGGTGCTCCATCCGCTGGAGAAATCATGAGTTTTACAAAACGTCTACCTTTTACTCGTCATCGCTGCCTTAGATCAGACCCAAAAGATCCTTCAACAAGGAGTCTTGTCATCCCTAAAACAGCCTTGACAACTCCATTAATTGAGATTATGGTGTGCAAACATATCTATTTCTTTGGGTGCTTATCAGGGACTCAAGTGTACTTAATCGCAAAGTGAAGCATTTCCACTGCACGGGTGCGTCAGTGCTGAAATGGAGAGATTAGAAGTCGCTGGTCTGGCAAGTATACGTGAGAAAAGAGGTGGTTGAGCTGCATGCAAAACCCGTTTGGAACAAGTCAGTGAATAAGAGGGGAATTTCGCCGTCTTTTAACGTGGGTTAAGTACACAGAACTCTCTCTCCGTCTCCTTTTTTCTCCCTCTCTCTTTGGGCCCCTGGAGCAGCTGTTTTCTCTTTGAAGTTCAGGAGCTTTTTAAATGGCTTGGAAATAATACTCCATCAAGGAGGGCAAATTAGTCTCTTGTTTAATTGGCGGTTCTGTTCTCACAGTTGGAGAGTGTTTGATATTAACCCAATAAATAAAATATATAAATTTGCTTTGCATATATAAATAAAAAGGGAACCGGTAAAAAGAGGGTCTTGACTGCAGACTGTCTTTCGTAAATGAAATTAATCTCAATTAGATGGAAATATCAAGCATGAATGTGCTGCTATAATAAGGTAAAGTAGTGAGCAATCCAACCTGGCTGATGAGGTTGAGGAGAGGTTTCCCCTCTGAGCCAACCAGACACGTGAGAAGCTGAGGGATCCAGGCCAGCCATTGGATGGGCGGCACTCCAATGCAGTATTTGTCCACAGCGTCGGCCAATGTGTTCTTATCATCAAAACTCAACAACCACAGCACCTGAAGAAGAACAGAGACAACAGTTCTGATTTTATAAACCCTGCTGCAGGAGAACATTTCATCTACAAATTTTCTTTGAAATAGCCAGAACTTGTGTAAAATAAAGAAATATGACATTGACATTTTATTTAAAGCAAAAATCATTTTATATTTAATGCAATGGACATTTAAAATAAAATAAAAATAAAATAAATTAAAATGTTCCTCAACCTATGTGAATGACCACCTAACGTTTTCATTTGAAACTAAATCTATATGTCAGAGATTGAAGATGAGGCCATCAGCTCCATGAAATAGCTACTCCAGGGCTTATTGGCTTGTAAAATAATCTCGGCCACCTTACTCCCACCAGTCAGCTGCTGTCTTATTGTGCTATTGTTGGTGGGGCTCTGCGAAGGTGGCTGGTGGGATGCTAACAGATGAACCTTTTCTCTGCTGAGGCCTGATGGAGCCATTAAGCACTGGACAGCCTGGGCTACACAGCTTACGGATAATTACTGATAATCAGCGAGCAGCTACTCTCATTAATCACGTGTAAACTACGCCACTGTCTCTAAAGCTTCAGTGGCCAGCAGCAGTCCAGACACAACCTAAAGTGCTCCTCGCAGTCAAACCCATGCTGGGATGGGTTTGTAGATGAAAAAGCCAAATGGAGCTGTTTGATCTAGCGTACAGCACTCGACAGAGAGCAGACTGCTATGTACATAGTATCCATACAAAACCCATCATCAGGTCTAATAATATAATTACATCCATCATTGGAGGTTCATCAGTCTGAACGCAGTGCATCCCCCCCTGCCGCAGCTGCATTAATTCAGAAATGGCACACGGTGACAGATATGCCCCCATTTAACAAAGCCATCAGAGCAGAATTGGTTTACTGGACCACAAATGAGCACGGAGTTTGCCTCTGTGTTATGGTAAATGGGTTTAATGGTAAAACTAATTACAGGCCTGTCAAAAAAGATGCTATCCCATTATGACATGCTCTGTACATCTCTGCCAACCATTTTTGCCTGTTATTGACAAGAAAAACACTAAGTACATGTTGCCCTCTAGATTACACAGTACAACTGATCAGTAGTTCTTGCTTCCATACTTTCACTAATCACAACCTATGGGTAAGTATAAACTATACCATTTGGCTCATTCACTCAGTGAGGTCAGCAGGAGAGAAAAGAGAGAAGAGGTCGTACCTTGGCAAGGTATTTCCGTGACTTGCTCTCGTTCTGATGGCGGCAGGCGTGTAAATAACAGGTAATGGCAGAGACACCAAGGTGCGGCTGGCGGTCTTTGACAAAGATGTTCTCCAAGTAGTCGCCCCACATAGCCCAGGCTTTCACCAGAACATCATGCATCTGCACTGCAGCAGAGAATGCCTTATTTGCCTCCTCTGACCTGGAAGAAGAGACAATTCAAATGACAAGGGAATTTGTCACTTCTGACCATTACGATCTTGAAAGCTCGAAAATGCAAAGAATATGAGCAATTTGGTGGATTAAGCTTGAGTCAGTAAAATTTCTGCCAGTGGTACACTGGTAAACAGGAGGCATTTAAACTTTATCATAATTATATATCCGCTTCTTATTGGCATTTCACTATAAATCTGGGAAGCATCTAACAGAAAAAAAAACTTGATGGAAAACACTATTCTAAAATCTATCCAGTATTTCAGCACCTAACTGAAATTAGCTGACCGGGTCCAATATTTTGTTTCATCAGCCGTTTTAGAGCTTTGAGAATTTGTCCCCTGAGAGTATCTTTTCTAGGGCCCTTTATAGAAGAAGCAGTTTAAGAATAGAAGTTGAGAAAGGCTCATAAAGGGCTTTATAAGGGACTGAAAGCACTGGATGGGACTCATAATCTGTGCTTGAAGCCTCTGCCCTTACCATTGCCATCTCTAAATGCTACTCTATGACACACCTACTAAACCAATCACATATAATGGAAACGTTTAATGAGTATGTGGCAAGCAACAAAATTACACTTGATTGCAATGGGAGTCTGGGGAGCCCAAATCCACTGAAGCGTCAAGTCAGTCGTGAACATGTATAATACGTTTCTGCTCATGGCCTTTGCCGAGAGTCGGGTAAAGTCCCCACGCCCAGTCAAGTGTCAAACATCTTCCTCCGACAGCTCTACTGCTTTATCAAATCCCTATGTTAATATTCATAGAGAGCGAAAATTTAATGATTACATTAGGCCCTGCTGAGGCTGGGGGAAACTTCTGCTGATCACAGAGATTTCACAAATTGCTATTGAGTTAATTATTCAGCATGTGTGTATTTAATAAGTTACTGCAATCCAGCGCCAGGCTCTGGGCTTGCCATCAATTCACCCATGATGAGGAAAAGAGGAAGGCCTATATAGAGCTATGGTGTTGCAAAAAGGGGTAGTTATCTGTTTATTTTTGAATGACATGATTCTCTGTTTTGGTCTGGATATGTTAATATATTAATAAAATGCAATTCATACTGACACAATCACTTGAATTCACCTCCTCTATCCTCTAAATTAAAATTCACTTTGATATCCAATTATTTTGATCCAATTTCAAAACAAGCAGTTTTGTCATATAATAATTTTGTAATAATAACCGTATAATATAATAAAAAAAAATTCTCTCTCAAATAATGTATGAAAAGATTAAATTTCTTAGAACTAAGTGAATGCATTTTAAACTAGATTTCACCTGTTCATTATCTTGGCAGCTTCTTGGCAGTCAATGAGCCTTATCTGTTTGTTATATCTCGTAGGAGGTTAAAACACCTGGCCTGATTGCACTACAAATTAATCTACAGTATTCGGAGATGTATAACAATTACATGACAGATTCTCACCAGGAAATGCTGACTGACTCGTGAAAATGCCAGTCAATAGAAGTTTGACAGGAGATTATCACTCATCATGAGTTCAGTGTCATTATCCTCTGCTGCAGTCATGCTATATAAGGTTAATTACTCATCATACTCTCATATTGACTGTTAACTACTGTTCTGACCTCATTATTGGCCTAAAGTTTTAGAAGTGATAATTAGATACACAAACACACACAGATGTTTATCTTTCCTCTCCATAATGACTCTTTGTCGAAATTGTTCATTTTAAAAAGTGAGCTCTTAATGATCTTGGTTTCCGATTCTCTATTGTTAGTGCGAAGACTCGTGCACAAAATAAAAGATAACGAGAGCGGCGTCAATTAAAGACAAAGAGAGCGCGAATGAGGGCGATAAGGAGAAGACTCAAAGTGACAGGCAGAAAAGGAGGGAAGATGAACAAAGCCAGGGATCAACTCTTACTTATTGATCTGGGCTAAGAACATGCCCTTGAGAGCGTAGAACTCGGCGGTCATCTCCTTGGTGAAGTACTTCAGGTTAGTAGACTCAATCACCTCCAGACCCTGACAACACAATAACAATGATTGCATTTGAAATTCCTAAAAGTATATTTCATATTTATGAGTTTTTCATTTTCTCATGAAGAACGATTCTACATCCCTCAAAATGGATGGGCCAGACTACACCAATGTGTAGATTTCTGACCTAGAATTCCTATACATCAAAAGTCAACACCACTGACAACAGAGTATATCTGCTGTAGACATCTCTGTAGCTCAATCTAAGACTCCCAGGTGAGAGCCAGTGGCTTAGAGTGTGCCAGAGAAATGATAAAGGGAACAGAACAGGTCCAAGTGATAGCTGAGAGAGAGAGAGAGACGTATTAAATCCAATGGTACTTTAATGACTTGAGCTCAGTTGAGGCAGCTCCATTAATCAGGCTTAAGCGAATGCTGCAGCCAGCAGCCCATTCCTTACACTGTTTGGAATGCATTCCTTACTGTGACAACACCGCAGTCATTCTTGCCGTAATGAGAGCAACGTTATTTGGATTAAGAGAGTCCGGCTAACAGCAAAATCAGCAGGTGTGTCGGCAAAGCAAACTAGATTTGGTATAGATGAAGTCAGTTTGACAGAAGCAATGATAAATAATCCTATTCAGTTAGATGTAAAAACATAAATAAAAATGGTAAGAGAAAAATAAAGGTTATAAACAAATGTATTCTGGTGTTGAAATTTTTTATTTTTTTTTAATTAACCACATCAATTCTTTTTTTTTTCTTTCTTTTCTTTTCCAACTTTGGATGGACGTCTTTGGCTTTTGAGTACTGACTTGTGTTCATGTTCATTCTGTTAAAGTCACCATAAAATCATTATCGACAATATTTATTTTTATGGAATGTTGCAATATTTACCATATTTATTCATGCAGTTTTTAAAATTCATGCGCACTTGGAATTATTATTAAACTGAACTTCTCTCCCCCTCACAGCATCATCTCTTCTCTGATGACATGTGCACAGACAGCACACGTGTAGCAATTAGCAAGCATAAATGATCCAATCAATTCCTGATGGTTAAAATCTAGTCCTGTCCTACATTTTTTCCCTAAAATGACCATGAATTTCAACCATGAAAACCCTCTATCCAGATGCATTAGAATACGGAATGCTCTAAAAGATGCATCAGATCTGGGTCTGACCCCAAAGCCACAGTAATTACACAGGTTATCCTTAAGAAAGATTAGATGACTAGTCATTCAAGAAACCTAATGACTAATTGATCATGCTATAGTTCACTCACCTGCATGCATTCATTCTTGCCCATTACTCCAGCCAACTGCAGGTAGCATTTAACCTGCTGACGGATCTTCTGGAAGCAGTCTACAATAGGCACGGTGGGGATGGTGTGGATGCGACTCAGAATGTCCAAAGCTACGTTGACCAGACCTTGCTTCCGGGCAATCTTCCCATACTGAATAATGGCTGATGCGGAGGCGTGCACTCCAAGCATGGCATTGTTAGTGTTTGGATCATGTTGTGTGTTGGTTTCTCTGTAGCTCAATCTAAGACTCCCAGGTGAGAGCCAGTGGCTTAGAGTGTGCCAGAGAAATGATAAAGGGAACAGAACAGGTCCAAGTGATAGCTGAGAAAGAGAGAGAGAGAGAGAGACGTATTAAATCCAATGGTACTTTAATGACTTGAGCTCAGTTGAGGCAGCTCCATTAATCAGGCTTAAGCGAATGCTGCAGCCAGCAGCCCATTCCTTACACTGTTTGGAATGCATTCCTTACTGTGACAGCACCGCAGTCATTCTTGCCGTAATGAGAGCAACGTTATTTGGATTAAGAGAGTCCGGCTAACAGCAAAATCAGCAGGTGTGTCGGCAAAGCAAACTAGATTTGGTATAGATGAAGTCAGTTTGACAGAAGCAATGATAAATAATCCTATTCAGTTAGATGTAAAAACATAAATAAAAATGGTAAGAGAAAAATAAAGGTTATAAACAAATGTATTCTGGTGTTGAAATTTTTTATTTTTTTTTAATTAACCACATCAATTCTTTTTTTTTTCTTTCTTTTCTTTTCCAACTTTGGATGGACGTCTTTGGCTTTTGAGTACTGACTTGTGTTCATGTTCATTCTGTTAAAGTCACCATAAAATCATTATCGACAATATTTATTTTTATGGAATGTTGCAATATTTACCATATTTATTCATGCAGTTTTTAAAATTCATGCGCACTTGGAATTATTATTAAACTGAACTTCTCTCCCCCTCACAGCATCATCTCTTCTCTGATGACATGTGCACAGACAGCACACGTGTAGCAATTAGCAAGCATAAATGATCCAATCAATTCCTGATGGTTAAAATCTAGTCCTGTCCTACATTTTTTCCCTAAAATGACCATGAATTTCAACCATGAAAACCCTCTATCCAGATGCATTAGAATACGGAATGCTCTAAAAGATGCATCAGATCTGGGTCTGACCCCAAAGCCACAGTAATTACACAGGTTATCCTTAAGAAAGATTAGATGACTAGTCATTCAAGAAACCTAATGACTAATTGATCATGCTATAGTTCACTCACCTGCATGCATTCATTCTTGCCCATTACTCCAGCCAACTGCAGGTAGCATTTAACCTGCTGACGGATCTTCTGGAAGCAGTCTACAATAGGCACGGTGGGGATGGTGTGGATGCGACTCAGAATGTCCAAAGCTACGTTGACCAGACCTTGCTTCCGGGCAATCTTCCCATACTGAATAATGGCTGATGCGGAGGCGTGCACTCCAAGCATGGCATTGTTAGTGTTTGGATCATGTTGTGTGTTGGTTTCATAAGCGGTCACAATGGCTACAAGAAAAAAAAAAAAAAGAAATTGGATCAAAAGTGCTAAAATAATCATTATTTTGTCACTGGAATTTATCGGCATACCCTGATAGTGGTGCTGCCGCCACATAAAGATGCTGCTCCAATGGGAGAGGTCATCGGAGACAATCGGTAGCCTGTTTCTCCAGGTCTTCACCACGGTCTTCATGTCATGGAGGCTAGTGTTGCGGCCCAGGTTGGCGGGCTGGAGGCCTGCATTTATCTGAGCAGCTTCTTGTAGCTCAATAATCTGTTGTGCTGCCTGAATAAGAATAATCCAAGAATAAACAGATGAGAATCTCAATGTAGTTACTTAACATCCAACAGGAAGATGCAACATCCATAAGCTCTCTTTAAAGCGCCTGCTCAGTTTAATTCTGAGGGCTACAGTCATCCAAGAATCCACATATCACACACACAGAGCTCTCCGAGATCTATTACTGAGACTGTATTACAGGCTTATGATTCCTATTGAGAAAGAAAAAGAAATAGACAAACAAAGTCTCGAGGTGGCTGAATGAATGGATGGATCAAAGTATCTTAAAAGCCATTCACTCCGGAACAGGCAGAGAGAGGGAAGCGCACAAGTGAAGCACCTAATCACGCTCTCAGACGACACTTAGACCACACCAGCAGAGGACACCGGCCACGGTGACCCAAAAAAACGCTACCCATTCCTCACAAACTACCGATGCACGACCTTAACATATCAGCCAGTAAACACACACCGCACTCTTACCGAAATGCCACATGGATCTTTAATCTCCTGTGCGAATTGGAAAAGAAAGACGTGAGGGAGGGAGTCTGGCACTTACAAGGTGATTTACAACATGAGGGTTTACCATGAGTAGCTTGAGCCGTGATAATGAATTATGCCCGCGAACACACATACACGCATCCAAAAACAATCCGTTCAATAGTAATGCCTGCTTTACAAGATAAATGCCTCAAATCAGTCTATGGACTTGCCAAATCAAATCCCCCCAAAACAAAATAAATTAAGCAATACAATATTTCTCACAATTATCTGTTAATATCAGCTGATGGCACATTATAACCTTCATTCTGAGTGCCCATTCATCATGTAAATGTAATTTTTTAGCAGGTATTTAATCAAACACTATCTGATGTGGAAAAGTAATTACGAGCCATTTTAAACTTGGTGGCGTTCTCACTCTCTGTCTCACGGCTCCTGTCTGCCTCTCACGTCCCTTCCAATCACTCTTATTGGACTTGGTTTTTCAGTATGGTTGCATTAAGGAGTGTAGGTGTAAACAGATTCAATTATCAGCAAATTCAATTATGAAGTCAATGGCTATGGGGCAAAGACTGAATTTCTGAAAGTATGGCTAAAACAGCCAACAAAGTGTGGCCAATAACGTATTTTAAGAGGAGCTGGTTCTTCACCAACACTATTTATTAATGATTAACTGCTTAAACGAACCGACTTTGTTGTTATATATAACTTAATAAACTGAACTTGGTTTTTATTTACCAAAACAACTGTCAGTGACGAAATTACATTTGGATACTGAATTGTGATTAGTATTCTATTGTACTTTCTCCACTTTGAATCATATTTACCATATCACAAGTGGAGAAAAAAATATAGGGGAGAAAAAAAAAACAAGCATGACGCATATCTTAATTTCTATTTTTTAACATATTTTGAATATTTTTGCATTGAAATGTAGATAATTAATTTTTTTATTTAATTAATAAATTTTAAAAAATGTACATTTTAAATATAAAATTGCTGGATATAACGCAAGATCATCTTTCAGCACACAATCAAGTTTGATTTCTGGCTATTTGTAGTAAACAAGTTTGCACACTTCTCATTTGGAGCTTAAATTTGAACACTTTTTTGTGTTTCATACACTGATATTTCCTTCAGAAAATGATAATTATTATAGAATTATTTTTCAGTGTATAATTGTGTCAGTATGTTCTGCTTGTTTCTTCATTTTAGCAAGCAGTCCACAGAAAAAAAAATTGTGAACCAATAAACAAACAACAATAAAAAAAAAATTATTAACAATATTAATAATTAATGTTTTAACATTTTTTATAATAAAATGCTAAGAATAAGATAAATGATGACATACTAATAGGATAAAGCATCAAAAATCCCTTATATTCAAGATGTTCGGATTTCATCCACTACAAACAACACTTCAATCATGCAGGCCACAGAACCATCAGCCATTCCCCATAACACACTGTGTGGTGTAATCACAATCTCCAACAACAACGCCTCAATTCCTCAGTTTAGCTGTCATATTTGCCATCACACCACAACTGAGCTCAAGAGAGTCTCTAACAGTCCCCCAGAGGACGTGGTGTGTGGACAGCTCTCACACATTACCCTAATCTACAGGCACACATCACCTCCGCTCCGTCCCATTGTGTGCTCTGCCTGATTATGCGTGTGGCAGTCAGGAGGCTGTTCTTTCCGCTGAATATTAATACAAGCTGCCTATTGAGCACCACAATGGTGCAGTCAACACTATCTCAGCCATTTTAGAAAGGGCTAAAGGGCCAAAAAGAGGGAGGGGGGGAAGAAGGGACCAGGTCTGATAAATGGAGAAGTGATATTGTGCAAAAATGCACAGCGAAAAAGGCAATTATAAGCAAAGTGTCAGCTTTAACCACTCTCTGCAAGAAGGGTTTGTATAAAGTCACACACTTGCAAATGAAATGAGATTGCCAGAGTCTCATGCTTGTCAACCTAGGTATCTAAACAGATGTTCTGCTTTTGAGATATCATTATTTAAAATTGACAATCAATTTAGATTAGATCGCTAGTGGTGCTCTGATTGAGTTGCCCAGCTTGAAAAAGTGAAAAACCCCATCAAGAACATTAAATTAGAGCTAGAGAACGTCCGGTTATAGGGGGTCCTCACCTGCAGCAGAGGTGTGTGCACGTGAGAGACGATATGTGGCAGTCTCCTCCATTCTCTGATGGCCAGACTGCTGGCCATCTCCACTAGCCGCTCAATGAAGTTGAGCTGCTGCTCCTCCGGGTGACAGATGGCCAGGTAACCGCGATGCATATTCACCTTCCAGGCCATCTCCTTTGGACAGCTCAGCTCCACCTGATGCACACAGAAACGCAGCTGTATCAGCATACACTACACTCACTTGATTACTTTCCTGTTTTTAAAAATTAGTATTTTATGCTCACCAAGGCTGCATTTGTTTGATCAAAAACAGAAATACTGAGAAATCATTTTATAATTTAAAACAACTGTTTGCTATTTTAATATATTTAAAAATCTAATTTATTTCTGTGATGGCAAAGCAGAACTTTCAACAACCATTACATAGTCTTCGGTGTCACATGATCATTACGAAATTCATTCTAATAAGCTGATATAGCACTCAAGACACATTTCTTATGATTATTAATGCTGACAATAGTTGGACTGCTTAATATTTTTGTGGAAACTAGGGGTGTGCGATATTTCCAAGAGAAATTTGTCAACCGGTAGAGATTTTGGACTATTATCTCTATCGCAGTAACTGTTTCTAAACGCTGTCAGAGAGGCACGTAAACGTGATGACGGTGCTCATAGAGCGTGGGAGTACTGATCTGAGTTATTTATTTATGATTTAACACCATGTCAGCAGCAGTGGCTATATTCATGGCAAGAGGAAACATTTCAATTTCACAATTCAATAGTATATATAATTTCAAAACAATTATAATAATTTTGTTTGAAAATTATATATATAAATAAATAAATGTACAAATATACAAAAACATACATATAATAAAAATAATAACAAGAACAAAAGTAATAAGAACAATTATATAGAGCAGTGATGGGCAAACTTGGCCCTTCCAGGCCACTTTCCTGCAGAGATTTGATCCAACCCTGATAAAACTCACCTGCCTGTAACCTTCTAGTAGTCTTGAAGATAATGATTAGCTGGTTCAGGTGTGTTTGATTAGGGTTGGAGCTAAACTCTGAAGGAAAGTGGCCTGGAAGGGTCAAGTTTGCCCACCCCTGCTCTATATAATTGTTCTTATTACTTTTTAAGTCTTTCAGGTTAATGCATGAAAGATTATGCATGACATAATCTTAATTATTGCATGACAAAAAATTTAAAATCGTCCCAGGAGAATTCTTTTAAAATTGTCCATTAATATATTTTTTGAATAAAAAAAGTTGCCTAGCATCATTTAAAATTGGACATTCAATTAAAATATTTTATACTCAAAAGATTGTTCACAGACCGGTTTCTCTTCCCCTTTCAACAGATAAGAATGAGTGAGTCTTGTATCATTGAGATATTATTGCCACTTTAAAATGCCAGTCCTTTCAAGTATCCTCACAAACACAGTAATTTAGGTCTTAAAGGCACAATATGTAATTTTTTGCCACTAGAGGGTGAGTATTCAAAATAAACAAAGGCGTAGTTTGATGACGCTGTGACCGAGTGTGAAATCATGGGAGTTGTGGTCTTCATCACCACAGCCGATGCAATCCGACGGGACTCGGGCAGAAATCATGTTCATGGATGAGCTAATGATTTATTAACGTAGTAGAATGAAGCAGGTTGAGGCTGAAAGCCGTCAAAGTGAAAGAAGGCCGCTAAACATGCGTGACACGGAAATCGAGGGTTTCAATGAATATGACGTCATTGGCAGGCGACACAATTACACTATATACACGGTCCATGTCACTAGTTAAAATTGCTTATTTCTCTGGATTTAAACATTCTTCGAAACATTTGGGATAATGCAAGTACACAAGTCAGCAAAATATATAAAACTGTTCTAGTGGTTTTTGGATATTTTAATAAATTCTTACATATTGTGCCTTTAAGTGCAAGCAAACAGCTGAGAAGGAAAATACACATGTAACAGTATATTGGAGCCGGGCAGCTCTTAAAGTGATAGCGGTCTAAAATTCCTGCTTTCTGTCATTCATGTTAATCAAACAACAAGAGAGAAAATCTCTCACTGCTCTTGACTAAATCACTTTTGTAACTTTAATAAGCAGAAATTTACTCGGTAAAGAATATGCAGTGCTTTTATTCATTTGATTTGTTTATTCAACTTATATAGCATTTCTTATTTATTTGCTCTGCTGTAGTTTTTTTTTGTCCTATTGCTTGTGATTAGTTTCTTATTTAATTGCTAATGGTTTACTTGACTTCAGTGAGCTTGAGTTTTTTTTTTTTTTTAGGCTAGTATGAGTCTTTTGGTGATGTTGACACTGGTGACAATTATGACATTTCTATGGTATCAAAAATGTTGATATCAAAGACCTCATTTTAAGCAAAAACAATCGTGATATATATTGTCACCATGAAATAAAATGACTCGTATCATGATATAAGATAGTGGTCATATCGCTCATCCCTAGTGGAAACCTTGACATTTTTCAGGATTCTTTAATTTATAGGAAGTTCAAAAGAACAGAATTTATTTTGAAATTCTGTCAGAATCTATCAGAATTTATTTGAAATAAATACTGTATATACACACACTGACCCCAACTTTTGAACTGTACGGGACACTAATCTTAGCTCTAGTTTGATTGCTATAAATAATGATTTGAAACTAAAATCCCTATGATTTGAACAGCATGTGTGCCTCAGTTTTTGCTCATGGTCATCTGGTCATCTTATTCCATACTGGGTGCTGCACACTGCAATTCGAGCTAAATAGGTGGTCGTAGGGAGAATAATAAGTCGGTACAGGTTGCTGGCATTGTGCAGTATGATGATGTGAAGGGATTTACTCTCTTTGGTCAATGCACACTTATTACGACCGACATTTGATAAATAACCCTGCGTCAGGGCTGGCCTTATCCACCCGCCTTTAATTGAAAGAAGGGACATTTAAACTTCCTGAGAGCAACTGCTGCTGCCAAGCAGCCTGCCCTGGAACGGAGAAAACAAATCACTTCCCAGTATAGCATTTCTTATTTATTTGCTCTGCTGTAGTTTTTTTTTGTCCTATTGCTTGTGATTAGTTTCTTATTCTTATTTAATTGCTAATGGTTTACTTGACTTCAGTGAGCTTGAGTTTTTTTTTTTTTTTAGGCTAGTATGAGTTTTTTGGTGATGTTGACACTGGTGACAATTATGACATTTCTATGGTATCAAAAATGTTGATATCAAAGACCTCATTTTAAGCAAAAACAATCGTGATATATATTGTCACCATGAAATAAAATGACTCGTATCATGATATAAGATAGTGGTCATATCGCTCATCCCTAGTGGAAACCTTGACATTTTTCAGGATTCTTTAATTTATAGGAAGTTCAAAAGAACAGAATTTATTTTGAAATTCTGTCAGAATCTATCAGAATTTATTTGAAATAAATACTGTATATACACACACTGACCCCAACTTTTGAACTGTACGGGACACTAATCTTAGCTCTAGTTTGATTGCTATAAATAATGATTTGAAACTAAAATCCCTATGATTTGAACAGCATGTGTGCCTCAGTTTTTGCTCATGGTCATCTGGTCATCTTATTCCATACTGGGTGCTGCACACTGCAATTCGAGCTAAATAGGTGGTCGTAGGGAGAATAATAAGTCGGTACAGGTTGCTGGCATTGTGCAGTATGATGATGTGAAGGGATTTACTCTCTTTGGTCAATGCACACTTATTACGACCGACATTTGATAAATAACCCTGCGTCAGGGCTGGCCTTATCCACCCGCCTTTAATTGAAAGAAGGGACATTTAAACTTCCTGAGAGCAACTGCTGCTGCCAAGCAGCCTGCCCTGGAACGGAGAAAACAAATCACTTCCCAGCAGATGTTTGAGCAATTATTCAAGCACGTATCCGTAAATATTAGATGCAAAGCGAACGGAGGGGGAAGAGGGGGAAGAAGAGGAGGAGGAATGGGAGGGCTGCTGGGCTGGACAATTTAATTAGGTGTCACCTTAGGACAGAAACCTGAATGGATTCGTTCCAAGTCTCCTTGAACAAGAGCCAAGAGTATTTATAATGTGTCCAGCCCCTATCACACACTTTTTCTACTTTGTTTTAGAAGTGAAGCCCATAAATTACCCAGCGACGGCAAGGCTACAATTCTGAACAGTCATAAACAATTTGGCAAGCACAGTTAGAGTGTGACTTTCTGCGTAATAAAAGTGGTGCGCGTTCACGTTCTGCAATATGGTGAAACTCCAATAATAATTTGAGGTGCTACAGTGAAGTCATAACTATAGTTTTAGGTTATCTGACTGGGCTGGAAATATGTGTGCAAATTTTACTCAAATAAAATCCAATATCTAGCCAAAAAACATACTTTGGGCAAAGTTTTATAATTTTTTACAATTATGAATATATACATATGAATATATTAGAATGTTACAAAAATCTGTTTTAAATAAATGCTGTTCTTTTGAACTTTCTATTTAAAGAATTCTGAGAAAGAAAATATGTGACCCCGGACAACAAAACCAGTCTTAAGTCACTGGGGTATATTTGTAGCAATAGCCAAAAAAAACATTGTATGGGTCAAAATTATTGATTTTTATTTTATGACAAAAATCATTAGGATATTAAGTAAATATCATGTTCCATGAAGATATTTAGTAAATTTATTATCGTAAATATATCAAAACTTAATTTTTGATTAGTAATATGCATTGCTAAGAACTTCATTTGGACAACTTTAAAGGTGATTTTCTCAGTATTTAGATTTTTTTGCACCCTCAGATTCCTTTCTTTAAATAGTTGTATCTCGGCCAAATCTTGTCCTATCCTAACAAACCATACATCAATGGAAAGCTTATTCAATTTCAAAAAATGACCCTTATGACTGGCATATATCTATAGACTGATTGAGAACTTCACAAGTATTCAGATCAAGTACACAGTTCCTCAAATAAAACATGTACAATTTACTCATGAGCTTTAAATCCCTGTCTGTGTTGAATGGAGTGTGGTACCTGCACTAGAGCCTCTTTCATTGCAGCCCAGTTGGACACTCTCCAGGCACACTCCAGCACCAGGTATGGGTTGTTATGGCCTTTAGATTGCCCATACTCTGTCAGAGGCTCCCACTGGTTCAGCTCTTTAGAACAACTGCAAGTCAACGTAACATTTCATTAAATGTGTGTGGGGTGAGGGTGGGGACAGCTGACCTCTTCCATGGGTGACGCAATTAATTAACTGACACAACAGTTTTTGTCCTAAGCAATGCAAAACAAAAATTTGAGAGTGTAATTTTGGTTACAACCTCTATTAGTAATTTGGTTCTATTTGCACAATAAAGTCTTGGTTAATCCACAAAGCTGTATCTTAAAAATAATGGTGTTTTATTGGCAGTGATTTTGTTGCCCTGGTGCAGTATATTCTTAGTAGTACTGCTTGGCAAACTCATGTATCAATGCATGTCTCAAAGGTTGAATCAGAGCTGTGGTCATTCAACGTACCGTATCCAGTGATCCTCCCACAGCTGGTACTCTGGAAAGATGGCGGGTGAGACATTGTGCTCTTTGCGAGCTTTCTCCATTGCCTTCTCATAGGTTTCTTGAGCCTAATGATGATGGACTCAGCATTATTATTATTATACACAGGGCCCTGAGTAATGTTTGATCTCTTCCCAAATTCTGTGCTTTCCAAATGAATTCTGCATTTTCTATATTAATTCTGCATTCTGTTTTAATGGTTTGATTACATTTTACTAATGTATAATGTCTAAAGAAGAATTTAATAATGTAATTTTAAGCAAATTAATGCATAAAACTAACAATTTAATTTCATAAAGTGTAATCACATGAAATTTGAACAGCCTTTTTGCAGTTTAATATTTACAGACACTAGTCCATAACATGATTTGATTAAGTGTGCAGCCCTTCTTTTTGATTAATTCATTCAAATCTTGCCAAACACATGCAAGGCGATACAATCTTTTCAGTCTCTCACCTGTTCAAAGAAGCCATGCTGCTCGTATGCAATGGCTGTGCTCGTCTCAGGGAACTTGCATCTCTTCTGCCAAAGCCCCGCCCACATATCCTCTTCCTGCAGTAGGGAATAGAGCTCCGCCAGCGAGTCGAGGATCTCCTGAGGGAATACAAGAACACATCTTCAAAGAATATAGGGGACAAACACATCCATATTCAGAGGTGTCCCAATGAGATGACTGCTTAGCATAAGCAGCTTGAATGCTGGGATACTTCAAACTGAACTCACTGACAGGTCAAAACAAAGCCAATTGGAAATTCAGCACACAAGTTCATTTTGAGTGACACCGGGGAACCTTCAGAACACAAAACTTCCTCTGCCATGAATATCAATGGCAACAAAGACAAAAGAAGGGCTCATGCATCACTGTACCTGCTGTGGAGGAGTGATGCTTTCCTGCTCATAGAACTCTGTGCTCTGTTTGGGTTTGATGTGCAAGCTAAGGCCTTTCTCAAAAGCTTGCTGCTCCAGCATCAGGGTGGAGCGTAACCATAGATTGTGGGTCTTTCCTAAGTACTTCAGCACGCAGGGCCTGATGGGTATGGGCTGCACGCACTGAGACATGGCCTCCACAAAGCAGTTTAAAGCACTGGGCTGGCAATCTCTCTGAGCTTGATGACTACCGCTACACAGGAACGGACCCATCTCGCCTGAGAGTGCCTGCAAAAAGGGATACATAAGACCAAAATTAGAGATGCATGATATATTGGTACAATATTAGTCCATCGGCTGATATTAGAAAACTTTTTAATGAACGTCAGTATCAGATTTTTAATAATTCATGTTGATTTCCATTATTTTTATATTTAGTTTACCTTTGCCATCACCTAATCACATAAAAAAAGCAATAATGCCATTACAAGTAATCTTTAGCAAATCTCAAAACGAATATTCATACCATAAATTTGTAAAGATAAAAATAATCTGCAAATCTGGTTAAAAGGAAAAGATTTAAGAATTTTTTTTTTTTTTTAAATGATTTATTTATTGATTGATTGACAGACAGGTAAAACGGTTTAATGGTATCAGCCTGAATATTGGTCAACTTCAATTAAAAATAAATAAATAATTAATAATAATAATAAAAACAGGGTGACTTTGATGAGAACTTCACAATAATGTTTAAAATAACACGTACAAAAGTAGCTTCTCACCAAACATCAATGGGAATTTGCTATAAATATTCAATAGGAATGTCAATGCTAAAGATAAACACAAAGACACACAAAGTCTTTGCATTATTATTATCACCGAAAAAGACTGATGCAGTAAATGCGTCCTAGTATTTTATACCTACTATTACACTACTACTACAAAAAAGGATTTCTTTTTTGAATGCGTGTTGTAATAGTCTATAGCCTCAATCACTCCAAATTAAAGTTCTTTAATGAGAATTCTAATACTTAAGACATCTGGTCCATTAAACTAAGATATTTGCATAAAAGCTCATTAGCAAATGCTGCCTGTTTAAGTTCATCGGCAGGGGCAGAAAGACAGCCCGCCAGACCCCCACCCATGGAAAGGTCTCCAAGATGAGCGGATAGGCACAACCTCCGACACCATTAACACACATTTTGCATGCTGATTCTGCAGTGATATGCATTATTAGTAGTAAAACAGGCAGTCTACACTTAAACCACAACAAAGGTCAAGTTAAAACGAGCAGCAGTCATACTCTGCATCTACACAGAAAATGTTTAGAGGAAAATGGCCAACTGTTAGCTCAGCTCTTTGGAGAACTGAAGTACTCACATGCTGCTGACGGTCCGACAGAATCTTCCACAGGCGGGGGAAGAGCTGGACCCAGGTCTTCTCAGCCAATGGGGTGGAGATGTGGCACAACTGAACCAGTGCATTCAGCAGTGCTCCCGTCTGATTACACACACAAGAGACTCATTTAAAGATAGGCAATATATCGTCCATTAATCAACCGACATTTAGCCACTTGAGATTATCGCACTGGCTGATAACAGTGCCAGCTCAGGCGATTAACAGAAGTGCGCCTTGTCTCAGTTCCAAAGTCTACCAGGAAACATTTGTTAATGAACATCTAATAGTTTTTATTCTTAACTATGTATATATACTTTGTTTTTGCATTTGTTTTAGTTTGTTATTTTAGTACATAAAACTAACCTAAATGAAAACGAGATCTAAAATAAACTATGTTTTGTATATATTATCTATACAATTTACCATTTATTTCAAGTAACAAAATGTTATGGTTTTGGTTTATCTATAAAACCCTGCTTAACACACTCTATTCTTTATACTTGCTTCCTGTATGTATCATGTCACGTTTGCAGCAAAAAAATATTTAATCTTCACTCATGACACCAGACATTCAAGGACAAAAGAGTCTATTCCTTTTCAAAAATTACTGTACGTCTGTACACTGTACGTTCATATGCATGACTGGTCATCACCTCTTGCCACTGAATAATTATTAGGGCATAATTGCATGTAAAGGTTTGGACCTCTGACTCTGAATGGAGATGTTAGCAAAAGCCAGAACTCAAATGTGTGCTGTGGTTGCTGACAGCAGCTCCGGTGGGCAACGCAGGCAGGTCAGGGCTTTGAACTCCTCACTTCATCATTTATCTAAAGCCAGCTTGAGAGGTGCATATAAAGCAGCACAGTGTCTAGGATTAAATAGAAATCAATGACGCTGTGACCTCAAAGTGCTCGGAGACAGAATCCCATGTTGCCCTGATCAAACTCTCTTTAACAGAGAGCTTATGAGGGAGCAGCCAAATGAGGAAGAGCAGGTTAGAGATGAAAGAAGCCAGAACCAAAAGTGCATATTAAACTACACAGTTCAAAAGCCTGTATGACTTCTGCATGTGACTCATTCCTACGTATGTCCCTTATGTAACCGGTCCTTTTTTTTTTTTTTTTGCTTTACTTTTCCTAATGCTAGAGGTTGCACTCGTGAGGGCAGCATATGTTGAGGTGATGGCTCACCTTGACCTCTCTCAGGGAGTCCAGGAATTTGTCGTGGCGGTTGGTGAGCATGTGCAGCTGGTTGCCTGCGTCTCGCTCTGCCTGCTCCTTGGTCTTAGGGAGGCTGGTCTGGTCTCCAGGTGCCAGTTCAATGTCTATCTCCACATCCTACAGATGAAAAAGGTCACAAAAACACAAAATATGAGAAAAAAATTGTTAACTTGCTACACTTACAACAGGCCTCTATGAACACATTTGAAAACACCTTTGAACTCCTGAATTAGAATTGAGGGCAGATACAGGAAACGAATTTAAGGAAGTAGAGTTTAAATAGAAATTAAATGTTTTTAATAATACATTTAATATAATTTACGTTTAATATAAACATGTCAACAAACTTAAGGAGTATTTTTAGAAACATTAGATGACATTAATATGCATTTCTATGTATTTGGCATTTCAGATGATTATTATAGTATATATTTAATATGTAGTATATATTTAATTTTCATGTTACTATTTTACTTTGACATTTTTAGGACAAAAAATAAAATTTTAAACCTAATTTAATATATATTTTAAGATCTTTGTTACACACACACACACACATATATATATATATATATATATACTGTATATATATATATATATATATATATATATATATATTAGGGCTGTCGATTTAACGTGTTAGGCTAATTAGGACAAAAATTAAACCTAATTTAATATATATTTTAAGATCTTTGTTACACACACACACACACATATATATATATATATATATATATACTGTATATATATATATATATATATATATATATATATATTAGGGCTGTCGCGATTCTATTCGACTTTTAAAAATCCTCGCCTTCATTTTGCCTGCATCGACAAACCGGAAGTGGCGCATTTCACGGACAAGACTCCATAAAACCCATTATTAGACTGTTTTCCAAGGCCTTGTGATATATTAAACCCGTTTAAAAAAAATACTAATTAAGCATAACTGTGAATTCACAAACGCTACGATTTAATTAAATAATTATATGTGATGCAGTTATAAGCTTGTAGGTTACGTACGTGCGTCTCACAGCACTCCGTTCACAGTAAATTCTGTTCCACAGGAACTGTTATTATTTACATGTGTGGAGCGGCTCAAACTCCATCTCTGCATGTTGTTGTGAGTTTGGGTTTATTATAATGTTCATCTGGGAACGCAACGTGCGCCATTTCATCAGATTTGTAAGGTAAATCATTTACAAATCCACGCAAACACAGGGGAATACATCATTATCTCCCGGATTCAAAATAAAAGCTCAAACCCTCACTCTCAGTTTACACGTTTTGATGTCCACATTTTCATTAAATTACAGTGGCCATAGCATTTCTGTCATAAAGAAATGGCCAAATATTAAAGATTAAGTGGACATTTGAATTAAATGATGCTTGGTAAATATTAAACAATTATTAGATCGCACAGTAATGTGTAAAAACAATCGTCAGGCTGTTGTTATTATTATTGCCTCTTTGATATTATATATGTATTTTAAGTAAATGTAAAGGCTATTGTTCATTTAACCTACATCTATTTTTATTACCACAAAAATGTATTAGTAATTATAATATTTTATTATTAATAGACCAGAACAAGTGGACATGTTGTCATTCTTACACTAGAATACTGAACATTGATTTCAGTGATTTGGACTATGAGAAGGACACTTGCTTCTTGCACTCTGTTGCACTTTACTTTTGCTTTAAAAAAGGATTTCATAGAAATGTGGATTTCATTTGAAGTCCTCTGTTAATTTTTTTCATCATGCTGGAGATGTCGGTTTAAATCTGTTGTTTGCACATTTCTAAGAGTACTTTTAATACTTAAAATGTTTAATAATAATAACTTTTAATAATACAATTTCAATACTTGATTCTAGTGGACTCTAAACATTGCATTTATTTAATGTGAAAACCCAACTGCTGGGGTTAATTGAAAAATGTTTTTCCCTTTGTAGTTGCGCTCACAGCTGTAATGAACAGAAGCCCAGAACATGTGGATATATTGACATTAAGAACTTGCTGACTTTCTCAGACTTTTGTAATTATTTTCTTTTTATTGAATTTTTATTAGGTTTGTTTACATTTGCACTTTTAGTTTTACATTTCGTCAATGGCTTGTTTACATTTATACTTTTTTATGGTACACTACTGAATGGCAAAGTTCCAAGTTTAATAAAATGTTCTTTAAAATTGTTGATTTTTTTGTGGGAAATTAATCGTTTAGATTAATCGATTAATCAATAAATTAGTCGATAGATTAATCAAAATAAAAATAGTCGTTAGTGGCAGCCCTAATATATATATATATATATATATATATATAACTTTTGTGATAACATAATCAGAACTTTCTCTATATATCAGAGTGTGATACTAGACCCAGCTAAATTAGGCAATAAAGGCACAAACAAGCTTTTTGTACTGATGTTTGTATACACTGAATGGCACAGCTGACCTCCTCCTTGGTCTCGCTGTTTTCTCTCTCACGAGGTTCCTGTTTGATATGCGTTGCCATGGCGAAGGCTGCACGGTCATGGCTGTCAGCCAGGTTGATGACGTTGGTGATGGAGGGGAGCATGGAGCCCTGGCAGCTGGTGCCAATGGTGGTGTTCCTCTCACAGACCGCCAGCAGCAGCTGTGAAGCAGAGATGACAGAATCAAACTCTGAACTGCCACGATTCCTAAAACACGCAAGCAAACAGCTGCTCCTTCTGTGAAGATCACAACACTTGGAAGAAAGTAGCTAACATTCACACATAAATGAGCCAGCATTGTTTAACAGCTGCCATTTTAACCACTTGCGAATACAGATCTAAATGCTTGACACTGGCTCCAGAGCTCCAACAGTGAATATTCTTCTAGTCTATCACGGCAGGCTGATTCGCGCACCCAGCCGCGCAATGTGTAGGACAGCGTTAATAATTCAAGAGCCAGAGTGGCATTGATTGAGGCTGAGATGAATAGATTGTGACCTGACTTGAGCGGGAGCAGCCAAACACCAGAGCGGTTACATCATGGTGAATGTATTAACAACAAAAGAATAATTATCTAAAATCCAGCTGAAATCCAAAGTTTTTATAAAATCATCAAGAGGAAAACTGTGACGTTAAAATGATACAGTATGCATACAATTGCTATGCAAGGTGCAATTAGCTTCTATGTAATTTAAGCATGTGCATAATTATGAAGTATTATCCACTCTGCACAGAGCTTACATGATTGAAGATGTACAATTGTACAATCTGCATTTATTTTTTTAATTATAAAAAAAAAATCTGTATACATATCCTGTGTTGTGACATGCAATGTTATATCATAGAAATTATAAATGAAAGCATTGCTTTAAACACATGTATATATATATATATAAATACTTAAAAATATTTTAATATTATTCATATAATAGTATTTATTGTATAACAGATTCCAATTACATACATTTATTTGCTTATTTAAATCAATCAACATTTTAGGTTTTATTTTATTTAAAATTATATTTTCTTTCTTTCCTTTTTTTTTGAAAAGTCTATTAAACATACATTGCGTTTCTCCAAAAATGCCTCTATTGGTGTATCTCTAACTATGACTTTACTGAATTCACGTTCATTTTTCACATGTTTTTCCTCATACTTTTTCAATAAAATATGCGTCTGTACCTCAATGCACTGTTTGATCCAGAAGTGGCTGCCCATGGCCTCCCAGTTCTGCGAGCAGCAAATATACAGAAGCCTCTCATAGACTCGCCGCTTCATTGATGCATCAAACACCTCGAAAAACTTTGCTCTGATCAGCGGCTGGGTGCAGCGTAGCCCTAACAAGAATGCTGGCTCTAGCTTGGATGTGATGTCACTTCCTGAGAGGTTCTCATCTCTGAGAAAAAAAAACAGTAAAAAAGTGTTTTAGACAAACGTTGCGAGACTGTTGTTGTGTTTACCTTCTAATACAGAGTGACAATAAACAACATGATGGGTCTTTAGCAAACAACAGCTATTAAGGACTACATGTGTTCCAGCGTAGATACAACTAGAGCTGTTGATTTAAGCCTATGGGTTCTCACCAGGATGAATTGCTCCTGACGCTGGAGAAATGCTCTCTTGCCCAGGGTGACGGTAACCCCTAATGCCTCCTGCCCCTCAGCCGCCAAACACCACCAGCCCCAACTTTAGCAATCAAAATGGGGCTACCACCCACCAGCCACAGTCTTGTTGCTAATGGCAATAGATGGAAGGCCAGCGCGGACAGCGGACCCTGTGATTAATCGGCGTAATTACCTGTAGACGTAATTAACGAGGTCCAGGAACTGGGCATTCAATTCAAGGTCGTCAGGAAAGCGCTTCTCAATGTAGGTCATCATTTTCACCAGCAGAATGGACTTCTCTCTTGGATTAGGCACCTAGGAAAGAGAAACGAAGACAAAGAGAGCCTAAGACAGTAGAAAAGAAGAAGAGCTGAGGAGGAGAAGGGGGTAACGGATTGATACAGTCCATTTATCTTTCATCTATCAGGAGAGCTGTGCAGCACCTTTGCTCGGCTCCTTTTTCTCCCTGTCTGCTCTCTTGCCTTGGGCTAACAGAACAGACACCTGGGTTCAGCTGTCCGGGCCACAGCGCACTGAATACACAATGCCTCATTTACAGCAGGATAGGCTTTGAGCTCAAATGCTTAACACTGCTGTATTCAGAGTCGACTAAAGGTTGGTTTACAATTGTGAGGGTAGCAAGTCTACAGAAATGGAAATCAATTAAATCATGTTCAAACAAGAATGCATGAAATATGAATCAGGTTTAGCCATTTATAGTCGATTTACCTAAGAACCTTAAGCACTACAGTGCTATCAAATCATAGTCCTGCTTGTTTCAGAAATCTCAACCAGCAACATTGGCGCGAGTTTTGGGTGGGATTATATATTGATCAGACGGAAGAAAACCTGTTAAAAACAACTCAGAACTCGGTTTGGTGGTGCAGCATTAACGCACTTGAACGTTAAGCTTTCTTTCTCTTTTCATAAATTTAGATTTTCTTTCCGTCTTTTATTTCTGTCTTAGATTACATTCTTTTAAAAATAACAGCCAATTTTAAAAAGGTTTATTAAAAAAAATGAAAAACTGAATAAATGTTCTTTTTAAGATGTCTTGTCATACATTTTTTGTTATTGAACGCTGTTCCCTGAGGTCCAGTTATAATGGTCACTTTCCTCTCTCTCCCTGACCTTGCTGTAGACTGTAATTTTTAACTGCCCTTTCATTCAACAGTCTCTTTGCAAAGTCTGTATTACACTGTGAAAGGATCACAAAATAATCTATGCCAAAATGTATGACAAACTATGAAGATCAGACTAAAATGATAGACCCTTTTCACAAGAGTGTGATGATGTGTTTAACGGTCATCATCAGCATCATAAATCCTCAAAAGTGTTTTATATTTTAACTTTTTTTTTTTTGAGTTTTTCTTTTGCTATTTGAGCAAATGGAAATGCAAGAAATATATCTATGGTACTTTCCCATTCACTGCTGTTGAAGTTAAACCCAACTATGATGACTTCCGCTGCCGAGAAACCCGGAAATGTGAAAAAGTTCCCATTAGAGATCTTTTTAAAAATAAACTTGCTGCCAGGAACAGCACATGGTTTGAACCACCTCAACCAGAGGGTCAGGAACAAGGAGAAGGAGAAGCAAAATTCTGTTGTAGCCCAACAAGTCTTTAATTATTTAAATTTAGTTATCTTAATAATCTTAATAAAAAAATTTAAAATAATAATTAAAATTATACTCTTTGCTTACTTTTTGGATCACTTAAGTATGTTAAGACCAAAGAAAATTCCTCATAATATGTCACCGGATGTTAACAGAATTTTTAGCAGCAGCCTGTGAGACTTTACCTGGTTGGTTGCCATGGTGTTGCCAGAGTTCTTGACCCATTCCTCCACAATCTTCACCACAGCTCGAAGAATCTTTGGGTCAGGAGATTTCTCGATGAGGGAGGTGAGGATGACCTGGATGAAGTTCTTCCTCATTTCCATGTTCATGACCGACAGCCTCTCCTTTACCAGATCCAAACTAAGCATGACCAACTCGCTCGTCACTACAGTCAAACACAGAAGAACATGATTACATGACAGCACTACGATTTTCCCTTTCGCTGAGGTTCACAGGCCTTCTATGATTCTCCAAACCTAACAAAGAGGAAAAACTACACAGGCTCACACACACAGCAAAATGTTACATAAATTTCAAAGGCTACCATCGAACATACATCACAAATTGTAAAAGACAGCTGAAGATATGAACCATAAAATACGAAATTCTACCTGCTGAAAACGGGGGAAACGTGATTGAGTTTTAGCATGGAGAACTGTAGCAGAAAGGAGACGGGTTATGAGTTTAGTCTGGCCTCTGAATGTATTTTATGCTTGATTTGCTCAAGGTAAAATGTGATTGTTCTGATGAGTCGAACCCTTGGGGGAGAATATGTTAGAGGCTGATTTCCAGTTCGCTGCTGACTCGCGCTGTGAGGGGGTCTTGGGCGATGCTGTCAGGGTGACATTGCAGCGTAAAGGCCTTCAGACGGCACCGAAAGTGTGCGAATGTGTGTGCGTGTGTCTGTTCAATCCCATCTCCATGTACCATTTAAAAACCATAATAGCATCTAGAAGGCACTCAGCAGATGGGATTGTCTGGATTTTATATTCCGGTGGACACAGTGGGAGCTTTTTGACTTCAATCACAGAAGATGTTTCTCAGTATGGATGGATTTGTGGGCCGGTCTCCGAACATTTGATTGGTCCTCCTGCAGCACCCAGTGGTCAAATATGGACAGCACATGCTGAAGTCGAACGGTTCTCTCTCACACTCTGCTCCAAGGTGACAACGTGTCTTTTTGTCTTTCTGCCCACTTTTTAAACTCCTCCAGATGACTGCAGACAACAGGATTAAAGCTGTCCCAGTAAGAGCGTATATTTTTCCATCATACTGTCAAGAGCCTAAATTTAAGACAGACTGTCAGTTCTGGGCCAAGAGGAAGAGGACCTGTTCTGTCAGACGAAGCAATAGATCTTAACCTACCTCAGCTGGCTTCCATATACCATTCAAAATAAAGACAAGCTTGAAATCTTTAAAGGCTTGAAAACGGCCTCCTCAAAGGAAGGAAGTGATGCTAAGCAAGTGCAGATAGGATAATGACAGAAAGAGGTCAATGCTAAAGCACAAGATTGTTTAAATTGAGTATTGCATACTGTATTGAGTTAACTTAACATGGTTGCTTCTAGACAGCAACCAATTAGGATCGATTCAGATGATTTAGTGATCCATCGAGTGCCATCAACAGAAGAACTGATCTGACCTGTGTGTTACCTGTTCTGTTTAAATTTACTTGCGGGTCAATGCCATAAGAGCGTACACAATAAAATAATAAATAATTGAATTTAAAATGCATGCAAAGTTTCTAGAAATGTGTTCTTTGTATTCATTTTGTTTTCGTATAGTTATGAAAAAACTTTTGTACCATTTCCAAGAAAACTTGTAACTTCAAAGACTCTAAAAATAATGTGGTGCAACCATCAAGTAATATATTATCTGCCTTCGCTTGAATATGCAATATAACTTAAATATACTTTTCAAGATAAAAAGTATTTTCTTTTACAAATATCAGGGATTATTATTGAAATAAATATTGGGAAGTCACACTACATGACATTTTCCAATCTGACTAATGACTACAAACCTTGACTGATAAATCAAAGTCAAATTATCTTATATTTTAGGAGACTTTTTGACCTTAACACACAGGTTCTGCAGGGGTCATCTCTGATACAATATCCTGTTTCATTTCTGCATGCTGGTTGTATCATTACATTATTTCAAATATTAATTATAATTTTAATTTAAAATATCAATAAAAAATTAAATAATACTAACAATAAATTTATGAGTAATTGCAAGCAGCAATCAAGGGGCCAACAAAAGCACATTGGAACAAAAGACGCTAAAAGCAAGACAGTGAGCATCAGACTAAATACAAAAATGAGTAAAGACATTCAGAGACAATTTGAAACAAAATGGTTGAAAACCAATTAATCCAATCACTTGTAATGTGATATTTGCTTATTACTTTTGATCAATAGTTGGCACTGACACCAAATTTGGTCTCACCACAAATCTGGTGTGGTCAGTATTGGATGACAATGCCACAGACACAGTTTGCAATCAATGTGTCAAAGCTTTGCAGAGATACAGCCTCAGATGCAGTCTGGCATCATGCCATCAAATTCGCTGATGTGGAAAATCAACATGGTTTTGTCTATTGACAAGAAATCCATAAGTTTTTACCGGCATGGTCTGAAGAAGAAGAGTTAAGTAAGGCCGGCCGCACACTAGACGATTTTCAAATCTTAAACGATTTTAAAACCATGGGAGACCACAGACATGAAGACATTTCAACCAATTTTTAGCCTTATAATCCTCTGAACACACACACTAGATGATTCGACCAGATCGCGAGACCACACACTCGTTGATTGTAGGAACGATTTCACAGTGACACGTGATCTCACGGACACTCACGAGATCAAACGTAACTAGAGAAGAAAAACAACTAGAGGACAACGTTGTCAGCTGGCTCTCCTGGCGAACGTTCTGTTTCTGTTCTGTAAAGAATATGGGTGATGTTCTCTGCTTTCATGGCATGTTTGTGGCTGCCAAGTTTCAGCTATAGAAGCACGCAACATCCGGTAGGTGATGCTTGCTCGCTCTCATTGGCTATCGTGGGTATCATGTCAGAGGCAGCCCGATCGAGAGTCGTAAATATCAAACATGTTTGATATTTACGATTTGAGTTCGGGGACGCTCCATCTTGATCGGGACCAGATAAATAATCTTAATAACACCACACAACAGAGGATTTTTCGGACAAAAAAATCGTTTGCGACAAGCCGCGAATCGGGCCACACCCCCTGATCGTTCGTGGGATGCAAATCAGACTTAAAATCGGCCTTAAAATCGTCTAGTGTGCGGCCAGCCTTAGGCTAAGTTCACACTACATGACTTTAAACGTCGGCAGATCGCTGTGCTGTTCAGACTACATGACTTGATTGTCTGTCTTTAAGTCGTTGTGGTGTTCACACTACGTGACTATGTAAATGATCCGCAACCGGGGTTTACACACTACACAAGCTGACAACAACTCTGTCACCTAACGATCAAGGATATTACAGTTTTGAATTAGTTTTTATTTTAATATCGTTTTCAAATTTTCTATAATTTCAGTTTAGTTTTAGTTAGTTTAAAATAATGTTTTTGTTAGTTTTTATTTTGTGAACACATTTCTATTTAATTTTTATATATTTTAGTTTCAGTTTTAGTAATTATAGTTCAGCAGAGTTAATGGAACACTTCCAGTGTAGACCATTTAATTTTAGCAAAGTTGAATGTTTGCACAGTTCAGTAAACTCTAGTGCAAACCTTAATAATGAAAATAAAATATTTTTTTACAATTGAACAAAAACTATGCAACTTATATGTATGAAATGTATTCATTCATATTCATGTTCATATTCATTCATATTAAAGATGTAATCTTGTTAAACATGCCAATAGTTTACAAACAACAAGCTAATCAAGGTTTTCAGAGTTACTAGAAAGCTACAGGCAGTTTTTATCAGGGTTGGAGCTAAATTCTGCAAGACAATGACCCTCCAGTGCTGGATCGGAGGAAACCTGTTCTTTCTAATCGTCATTAAAACTCTGTAAACTTTATTTTTGTAATTTAAATGATGTTTGCACTTTACTTTGACAAGTCGCTTCAGATGAGCAACGCAATCAATCCCAGTTCTAAAGCCACTTTTTTACAGGACACGGCAAGTGGTGAAATCACCGCTTTTCACCGTGTTTTGTACAGTCAAAGCAGTGCTTGTGTCATGGACTCGAGGCGGACGATGCCAAAGTAATCGCAAAGCGTGACAAAATGACTATTCACTAAAGTCAGCTCACTTAATTTCCAGCGATATCGTCGACTTGATTGCACAGATACTATTTAAACTGAGCTGAGCTGGACGATGACATCACTGAATCAATGATGAACTGCCTTTAACTGAAAATTGAGTGTTTACTATTGTCTTTTTGCACTGACACGCTATTTTCCTATTTGATACTGTAAAGCTGATTTGACACAATCTGTATTGTTAAAAGTGCTATATAAATAAAGGTCACTTGACTTGACTCATCCAAAAATTCTAATTCTGTGTCTGTTAACTCATGTTGTTCTCGCACGTCAAGCACGCTTTTAAACATCCGTGAGCTGTAAGGTGTGCATTGTTATTATTATTTCCCATTTCATGTTTTATAGCTATTTCCCATTTCATTGCTCGCGTCTTATTTTTTAAATGCAAAAACGCATTCTCTGTTAATAACCGTTTAGGACTCAGCTCACGTGCATGAAGCGCCATCTACAGGCATTTCCCTAAACAACCACAGGTCAGATTTACTGGCACAGAATGAGAGCTTATTAAATCACGAGCATGATTATTTAATTTTGTTAATTATTTAATTTTAGTTAGTTTTTTAGTAACTGTTGTTAGTTTCGTTTAGTTTTAGTTTTTCGTTTATTTAGAAATGTTAATTTTATGTCAGTTTACGAAAATGTTCTTTGACCAATAGTTTTAGTCATAGTTTCAGTTTTCGTTTACGAAAATAACCTTGCCAACGACTCTACAAACCACGTTTTGTCATGAAAACACACACGAGAATTGGAACGGAAATGATGCGAAACAACACGTGAAACAGGAGTTGTTCATTTGAAAATGGATGTCGGGAAGAAATTAGCGCTGCAAGCTGTTTGCTCGATGAAAAATTTTGATCCATTTATTGTGTCCAAACTTTTCTTTAAGCCTGTTGCTGCTGTTGTTTTTCTACCGGTGACCTCAACCCATGCCTTGCTCTCTCATTGGCTGTAGCTCGTCACGACACCTGACACCATGTGATGTCGAGTCGGCCAACCGGTCCAGATATTTGGCATGCTAGATATTTGTTTGCCGTTGGCAAGGTGTTGGCGACGCATCAGTGAGCCTCTTTGATGTGTCGTTGTGTAGTTCACACAAAGATTGCCGAGCGCCGATCACCCGCTGATTTTCCCCCGATCACAGCCCGACCTGTCGGCGAGCTCGTTAACTTGCAAATCGGGCTTAAAATCCTGTAGTGTGAACTAGGCATTAGGTGAAAATCAGTTTAGGACAGGGGTGGCCAACCCTGTTCCTGGAGATCTACCTTCCTGCAGAGTTCAGTTCCATCCCTGATCAAACACACCTGTCTGTAATTATCAAATAATTATCACATTAGATCGATAATCACTAGAGTGTCTAAAGTTATTATTTCGCAACCTCTGTGGAGATTCAAAGAATTTATGTGTTTGTTAACAGCTGCTGACCATAATACTGGCCTTTAGACTACATCTTGCACTGGAGCAAATCAAATGATGCAATTATTGTTCATCCTGTTGTGAGCTAAATTCGCTACAATGTTGTGACAATGTTTGTCCAATTTAGAAAAAAAAATTCTAATCTAATATATTTTAAAGTATCATTTATTCCTGTGATGGCAAAGCTGAAATTGCAGCAGCCATTACTACAGTCTTAAATGTCACATGGTCCATTAGAATCTAAAATAATGTTGATTTGATGCTCAAGAAACATTTCTATTATTACTGTTAAAAACAGTTATGTTGCTTAAAGGGGTCATATGATGTTGCTAAAAAGAACATTATTTTGTGTATTTGGTATAATGAAATGTGTTTAAGCGGTTTAAGGTTAAAAAAAACACATTATTTTCCAATACTATACATTATTGTTTCTCCTCTATGCCCCGCCATTCTGAAACGTGTAGATTTTTACAAAGCTCATCGTTCTGAAAAGCAAGGTGTGCTCTGATTTGGCAGCTATCCAGTGCATTGTGATTGGCAGAAAACCTCAAGCGTGTGACGGAAATGTTACGCCCCTTACCATATTGTGATACCGTATCCTGGAGCGACGAGACAAAAACATTAAAACCCATTATAAACGAGGCATTTGTTGCATTTAGCGGGGACATAATTACGGATTACAATGACTGTTTCTGTCTTTTTATGCGTTGCGTTGCATCGCGCCGCGTAAACATAAAACCATGTCTACATTTGTGATCGGAGAAATGACCAACAACAAGCCCTAATCTACATTGCTCAAAACTCACGTTAGAATCGTCAGTGGCAAATTCTGTAAATATAAAAAACGTACTTACAGGCTGTGAGTCAGAAGCGCCAGGCTGTCCTTGCAAACAAAGGAAAAATTGAAATCGCATCATATGACCCCTTTAATATTTTTTTGAAAACCATGACTCTTTGGTTCTTTGATGAATAGAATATTCTTAAGAACTGCATTAATTGAAACAGAAATCGTTACTATCGTCGGCACCGATAGCCTTGTGGGGCAGTGCACTGACATACAGAGCCTTTGCGCTACGGGCGTCCCAAGTTCGAATCCTGTCTTGGGGAACTTTCCTGATACCGCCCCCCCATCTTTCTCACACACCTCTTCCTGTCAGTTCTGATCTGTCCTATCCTAATAAAAATAAAACTTCAAAGGGGACCTATAATGCAGAAATCACTTTTATAAGGTGTTTGAACACAGTTGTGTAGCTGCAGTGTGAAAACAACCAGTATGTTAAAAAATGGTAAAAAAATACAAATCCACCCACTCATTTTTTTATAATCCAATAAATCATAAAATGTCTCTCAGAACAAGCGATTCCAGATTCTCCCCATGTACACATCATTGTAGGGAAAAAGTCTCGGCCATTTGTGACTATCTCTGCCCTATTAGACAGCCCAGAGTGAGAAGCAGCAGTCCGCCATTACTGTTTTCTTGACACTGTGTTGTGTTTTGGGATGCACAAACACAGGAGTCACATAGTAGTCTCCATAGACTCCCTCCATCTGAGCTGCTGAGGACACTGTGGTGAATTTTCATTTTCAAAGGAAATGTCCTGAAAAAACAAAAATCCGTAAAGTCCTATGTGATTGTGCCAATCATTTTATGCCGGACTGCCTCACAAATGAGGGTCATTTCAACTCTGGAATTTCGTTATCAGATCAATACCAATGCATCATGCATGAACATCAGCCCCAGACAAAGTAAGTGCGTCATATTTTGTTTTCCAAATTGCCTTTCTGAAAGTTGGCACTCTGTAAAGCTAATGTTGCTAAAGCTACCATTGTCTCTGCCTCTTTTCACTGATGCTGCCTAAATAGGAATGTGTAAATAGGAATGTGGTAGTTAAAATTGCATATGAAAGCAATGTGAAATCAGCCACTTGAGAGTTTCTGACATTTTCAGTGCGTGAGATTTTTTTATTGAGTGTTTGTTGTTGACTGGTATGACAGAGCATGAGCTCTTGAAGCTCCGTCCTCTTCTGAAAAGGGGGCCGGGAGCACCAGCTCATTTGCATTTAAAGGGACAAATGCAAAAACGGTGAGTTTTGGCTCATACCCTAAAAGTGGCAACTTTAACAGGCTATAAAAATTATCTGTGGGGTATTTTGAGCTAAAACGTCACATACACACTATGGGGACATCAGAGACTTATTTTACATCTTGTAAAAAGGGGCAAGATCTTCAAGGCCTGTTCACACAAAGACAAATATTCAGTACAAGAAAAAAAAAATATTATCTGAATGAACGGTTGTTAATGTGTCTGTTCAGACTCACACAAACATTTGCATGTCGTTAATTGTTTCCATTGCACTGTGAAAAAAACTGGCTAACCAATTCTTGCTGTTCGTCACATGGCCAGAGCCGCTGCGGTTTCATAAAATAACAACTTGGTAGAGCTCACAAAGTAGTTTATTTAGATTGAGTGAATAGCAGAGGAAGAATCCCAGAACTGGCTCTCTTGTTTCTGCACACTTTTATTTGGTGTTATTAGATTAACACCATAGCGAACACAAAAATCTAAACAGCAGTTTGAAAACATGCAAACACTGTTCGACTTCCTTCTCTGTGACAAATGGGTGTCAAAAACAGAAATTTATGTAACAATTTGTGTGTCAGAGTAACCAGGGTATTTCTGCTTTTCTAAAAGCGCCACCTACTGTCACAGAGAGTGAATTTGTATTTTCATGCATCATCTGCTGTTTTTTTACACATTAGTCTAGATGGTTCTTAATTTTTTTTTTGACAATGAGCCAAGAACTCACAAATCTCATTTCCAGCCTCAAATTGATATAAATAATTTATTATAGGATAAAAGCATCTGCTAAATGATTAAATGTAAATGAATAAAAGAAAACAGACCAAAACCCACAAGTGTTCAGACTTACCACAGTAATAAGGAGTTTGTCAAACCACTGCAGTTTAAGTTCGGCACGGGGCCACATGTCCGATCTGAGGGCAGTCTTCATGAGGTTCACACAGCGACGGGACAGCAGTTCACCAGGGGAGCCTGCCACATTAGTGCTATCATTTACCTGCAGACACAGAGCGGGATTTGGCTTGTGTAAGTATTAGTGGACACTCCAGTAAGATTCACAAAGCAGGTATGAAACTGTTTGCGTTTAACGCCATGCCAGCTTCTGTGGCTATTTTCATGGATGACTACCTGGCAGGCAATGCGGATGAGGAAGTTGACCACAGTATCTGTGTGCTGTTTCTCCACAGGTTTGGTAAGTAGAGCCTCTGTGCCTGGCATCGACTGACTGCGGCCAAAGACCTGCACATACAAACACAATACAGCCAATGTACTCAAACATGGCACAGTCCATCAGGGTACAGAGCGTGAGAGACTGATTACAGTGGTCACACTCAGGCTGCGGCGAGTGGTTTAAAGTTTCCTCACCGTGCCGACAGCACCAGCTGCAGTGCGAAATCTCTTTACATCTTGTGCCGAGTCAACGGACATTCCTCTCTTCATAGCACCAGAGGCTCCACTCGTACCTTCTCCCACACTTCCTGGATCAGCTTCTGATTCAGGCTGAGAAAAGTGAAAAATTCATTCACAATTAATTGCCGGGAATGTACAAATTCAAATCACAGAAGACCGAAAAACTGATTTTGCCATCTTATCTCCTGCTAACAAACCTGTTGGTCTTTGATTCTCTGGAGCTCCCATTTGATGACCACCTCGGCTAAGTCCACTGCCAACTTCCTCTGCTCGATAGTCACACTAGGGGTGAAGCCCAATCGCTGCATAGCACTAATCATGTGCTGAACCAGGTGATGTCTCACTGGGTAATATACCTGTAGGCAGAGAAACATACACTCAAGCAAACTCTACAAAAAACAAAATGTTATATGACCTACCAAACAAACTAATACCTAAGGCTGTGCAATAAAAAACAGAATAATGTGAATACTGGATTATAAAATTATCTGCAGTATAACTAGTGAGATTTAGGTGATTTGGCATACTCTGAAGTGCTGTACAATGAGGTGAAGTATGTGGACGAGCTGAGGAACTGTGTGGCCCTCCTCCACAATAATCTTGCGGGTCCAGTGTGTGAGCATCTGATGACCGTCCTCCATCCGAGCAGGTACTGCAGGTGTGAGAATTGCCATGGCTTGCCGAACAATGGCACGTGCTTCCATAGTATGAGCCTTTAGCAGACTGTGGAAAACCTGCAGAGAACCGATACAGAGACTTTTAACAGCATTTCACAGAAGGAAGAAGTTGACTACTGAAGTGAGTTCCCAAAAGACTAAACTTTGAGTAGCAAAAGCTCAGAGGGTACTCTTCTATTCTTTGAAATGTTGAGGTAAGTGAAGTATTTGGATTTGAGAAATTGTATCTGCCAAAGGGCTGATATCATATTTATTATAAACGTGTCATGTTATTTCCTTAATTAAAAAGAAATAACCACTAAAGATTTGCTCTGTTGATTTTAATTCCATCATGGCTCAAGCCAAAAAAATTCTAGAAAAAAAAGCAGAAAATTAATCCCCTAATTGTAGTCTTTTTTTCTTTTTTTTTTAAATCACAGCAATATATAGGCTCTAATGATTTTTAAATGGCTTAAATTAAATTTGAAAATAGCAAAAAAATAATTGTATTACTTTACCAGTGTAATATTGATTTGCACTAGTTTTTTTTAAGAAATTAAATTTTATTCAGCAAGGCTGCATTCAATTTATCAAACTGATATATGTAAAGACATATAATTTCTAGATTAGAGAAATATATAAAGTGTTCCATTACAAATAAATGCTGTTCTTTTAAACTTGCTATTCAAAGAATTCTGAAAACAAGTATAAAGGTTTCCACAAAAATATTATGCAGCCAAACTTTTTTCAACACTAGTAATTATAAGAACCATTATTAATTGAGCACCAATCATAATTAACAATAAATGAGAACTAAATCAGCATATTACAACGATTCCTTTGTAATCATGTGACACTGAAGACTGAAGTAATGACTGCTGAAAATTTTGCCATTACAGGAATAAAAATTGAAAATATTTAAATTGTTGTTCAAAAGCAATCAGAAAAAAAAATGTTTATAGTATTTTTGGCAGCTGAAATTTTGGTGCATGCCTACCTGTAACACAATCTTTTTGTGAATGGCAAACTTGGCGATAATGTGAGCCAGCAAGAGGTGGCCACTGTACTTGCAGGCCGGATCCACGCAGGTTTTGGGGAGCAGGCAAGGCCAAGCGAAGGTCATGAGACGCCTCAGCTTGCTGTTTCTGCTCTTGTTGTTGTCATGGATGTGATGAGGAGCATGCTCTACCAGCAGGGTTGAGAACTGAAGCAAGTAGATCCTCAATGAGTCGGCCAGATCTGCCTGCTTCTCAGGATCAAGAACCTACAATAACGGGAAAAACGTGTTACAAGACACTAAACGATGCATTCTTTTTAGGGCTGTGAGGCATATGGCAGACTTAAAAGTCTGTTTAAACTTGAACAGCTTCCTTTCCTGCTGGAGGTGTTGAAAACAATCCCGGGGAATAAACGGGCTGTTTGGTTTGCTCTTTGCTATGATTACCAGCAGGGGAGAGAATCAATTTAAGCGTGAAATAAATGAAGGCTATTAACCTTCATTGCTTGGAAAACAAACACTATGACCTTTATTGTAGCCTTGACATTTCTGCTGGTGAAATAACAGCCAGAGGTCATCCTGGATAAACTGGTGACTTGATAAAAGACAGAGTGAAAGCACTGCTTATGGTGCTGTTGGAGAGGGTTACCTTGGTGATGAAGACACTAGTGATGCTCTCAGGGTTGTCACCCTCTGGATTGGGTGGCCCCAACAGTTGCTCGCCTTCTCCTTTCTCAAAGCTGTATAGCTTTAAACTTGAGAAATGTGTAATGTCTGCACCACCAAACAAAACACTTACTTGCAGTAGCAAAGCAGACAGTATGCTAGTAGTTTGGGCTCTTTCCAGTTGGTTGCAGCCATGTTGTCTTTGCGATGGCGCTCCTGAAAGGCCTCGCTGACCCACACGCGCCTGAGCTGACTCACTAAAGAGTGCTGACCCGCCAACCAGCCTTCATCATTTTTCACAATGATGCTAATGATCTGAGGGAGTTTATTAATTCTCATTAATATTCAGGCTCTACAAACAAGCACATTACATAAAATCTAACAGTAAATGGTTCAGTTAAGAGCGTGTTTGGCCCACCTTGATGGCCTGGAACTGTAGGTCAAGGCGGGCAGTGCTGGTGGAAGGAGACGCAGGTCTCGCAGTTGTTGCAGGCCCAGCTGGAACCAGCAGAGGGACAAATCGATTTGGGTTAGAAGCCAAGACATCTCGAAGTGGCTTGGCATCTTTGTGCTTAAGGAAACTCTGCAAATGAGAAAATGATAAAAGGTTGAAGAAAAAAAGCATTCATAACATTCAAATAAGATATAATAGCACGGAATTTTTAAACAAAGACACAATACAGTATGAGGTATGGACAAGAAAGAAAAAACACAAACCATGAACATGCGGCTCCACTGTGGGTCATTGAGAGTGGCCTCCATCATGAAAAGCTCCACTGTTTGAGATGGATGACGCGTCAGGAACTTGATCAGTGGCTCTCTAAAGGGACTGCCAGCCTGTAGAGTAACAACATGCAAATTGTATAAAACCATAATATTTGTATTGTAAAAAATATCCTAACTTTTAATACTTTTTAAAAATGTAACTGATTCCTGTGCAAAGTCAAATTTTTAGCAGCCATTACTGAAGTCTTCATTGTCACATGATCCTTCAGAAATCATTCTAATTTGCTGATTTAGTTCTTAAGAAACAATTTGTATTATTGTTAATGTTGAAAACACTTGCGCTGCTTAATATTTTTGTGAAAATGGTGATTTTCTTTTTTTGGTGAAACATTTTCAAACATGTCTTTTTGATTATTTAATGCATCCTTGCTGAATAAAAGTATGAATTTCATTCAATTAAAAAATATATATACTGATCACAATCTTTTTAACAGTAGTTTGTGTGTGTGTGTGTGTGTGTGTGTGTGTGTGTGTGTGTGTGTGTAAGGTCTATTCAGTGATCTACAAATCTGCCACATTAGTCTAATTATCTTGAATGCAGGCTGAAATTAATACTAATAGGTATTTATATTAAATTTCATTTGACACTTTTGCATGACAATCTTGTACCTCTATGAGCATCGCCCTTTCCGTTTTCATGACCACTTCCAGCAGAGGTTTCACCAGTGTCTGTGGAGCAGCTGGTATCAGGTGGAAGAGGTTTATAATGGCTGAACAGATTCTCATTTCCTGCAGAAGTGCATGAAGGAATGCATCACAGTGACTGTTAGTGATAACCAGCAGTGGAAAACCAAGTGTACCTCCTGTAATATATAATCAACAGTGACAAGTTGAGGAACATCTGTGGGAAAGTCAGAGTGGCAGGTTGGTTCCTGAAAACATCATAGATCCACGGGACTTCATATGGTTGCAGGATCAACCCTCTACGCACACCTTGGCAATATAATCGCCAATGGCAAGTACTTTTTTTTTTAGTTTACCCGCCAGACTGATATACTATTTTACACACACACACACACGCACACACATTTACTTAGCTATCTAAATGGGGACATTACATAGACTTCGATTGTTTTTATATACAGATAGTTATACACTTTTTAACCTAAACCCACCCCTAGCCCTCACAGAAAACTTTCAGCATTTTTTTAATTTTAAAAGTTAAAAAAAACTGTTTACTTTATTTTTTTATAACAGTTTTACAAATGAGGACATCCACAAATTGAGGTTTTTGTTATTATCTGCTGGGATCATGAATATTAATCACGTTGTCATTAATCACGGTAATAGATGAGCGCCAGCCAACGAGAGCTGTTCGCGCATTAGCTCCGCCCACTGCCGAGACACCGGCATATCGTCTGCTTGTTCTTAAAAGCTGAATAATTCTAAATGAACTCTGTTATTTTGACAGGAAAATACAACAAAGAATATGGATTACATGTAGTGCGTCGATTCAGCGTGGTATGCAAGACTCTCGCTCTCTCTCTTTGCATGTGTGAGAAACACAGCGCTATCAGGAAAGAGCCGGCGAGTCGTGCGCCTTCACACTAGTTTACGGTACGTCAAATACAGGTGCGCTGCATGCTACATACTGCGCATCCATTGAGTACATGACATGATCCATTGAGCGCATCCAAATACTAGTACAGATCGCTTGACGGAGAGCGAAACTCTCAAGCGCTCAGTCAGCGTGTTTATCGAGTGAAAATCTGTGTTGAACACCTCTCACACACATACTGGTGTGTAAAATCTAAGAATTTATTAACCAATGGCTAATGTTAGACATTATTTAGTCGGCCAGAGTAAGATTCTAAATAATCTACATTGCGAGTAAATCTAGTGATTTACTCGCAATGTAGAGGGTTGAGGATTGAGAGGGACCACCTCAGAAATGTGAAACGTAGAGGTCAAACGCAACACCACAGACACAGAGATACGGTTACAAAGACTCCACTAGCACAGAGTATCCACGAGCACAATGAGAGCGGAGTCAGTGAAGACCCCACAGCAGGCCGCCATCTCACCTCTACACCCTCCATGGCAGGCTGCGCCAGAACAGGAGACAAAAAACAAAATCAGCAAAGCAGTGTGGGTAATGAGTGCTGTATGGATTGAGGAGATGGGTTCATGTGAAAGGTGGTGTGTGTGTGATTCTGTGCAAAGCAATCCTTCTTCTAGGTTGCGCACTTGTTGCAAAGGCCAAAAAATGTGAGGTAAAAAAAAAAAAAGCTTTTTCTGAATTGAAACGGGTAGCATTTCAGCTGGCCTCTATCCACAGATCCATTGATTTTCAGCATGTAAACTTAAGGTGAGAGAAATCATGTGTGGGAATACACAGTACTGATTAATTAGCATGAAGGGCATACAAAAGTATGGGCGTTAGGACCATAGTGCTAAATGATGCATAACTGCAAAACCGATGATTGTTACTAAACATTTAAATGCAATATTTGAAAAATTATCTTGACAAACAAGTAATGCACTCAATTTAATAATGTTCAAAGGTAACCTAAATACTTGCAATAATATTTTATATATAACATATACACATGCTTTGTATTAGGGGTCGACCGATTATCGGCGCCGATATTAAGCATTTTTATGATTATCGGAATCGGTCATTTTCAAAACAGATTAGCGATAAAATAACTTAAGTTTGAAATGCGCTATTTGGCTCTGATGCAGCCTGTCAGAACTCACCACTCTGTGGCCTAAAGCAGTCTCCGCCCACCGCTCATCTGATTTGTTGGGAGTCATGAGTCCGACCAATCAATGCGGAATTCACTCTCACTCCGAAAGCGCTTGCTAACTGCAGCTGCTTCAGCGATCACTCATCAGTTGTCTCTCAAAGGTAAGGCAGCAGCAGACGTTGCTTAAGTTGCAATAGATCCCAATCCACTAACGTTGCACTGAAGTTGCAAAACACCTCAATATTATCTATAAAACGCGGATGGAATCGCGGAATCCAGTCATATTAATGGAATTTACTGTAGGTCTATGACGCAGAATGTCACAAAATAAATCAAAAGTAGGTCAGTACACTTAAATTGAGTCGCAATATGGACTAGTATCTGTAAATATTAAGCCACAAAAATACTATTTAAATATGGATCCAGCATGCGTGTCTCCTTGTATGTAAATGGCACAGATGCGCGATGTTGTTTTCTACACATACAAAGTGTGCGACGCTCGCGCGGATTTCTGAGTTTTGAGAACTCATTTTATGTGAAGGAGAGTAACAGATTTTAATAATTATTCAAGGAGTTTGCAAATGTGATATTGATTTAATACAACAGTTCAATAAACACGTACTGCCTGATTTTGCTCTATTTCATCAACGAGAATAGTTCCAAATAAAGTAACAGCTCAGCCGCTTCACATCTCTAAAAGCAAACACAGCGGTGTTTCATTCATGAATGAAAGTGCGCTTTTGAACGAATCTAGTGAGTCAGTGATTCATGATTACCCATTCATAAAGACAGTCACCTGCTTCATTCCTGAAGGAATTAGTCGTTCAAACGAATCAATTGAATGAATGATTCAGTGATAAAATCAGTGATTTGCCGCCACCTGCTGGCGGTTTCAGTTTCATGTTTAGGTATAATTGCAGTTATTTAAATTATTTAATATTTCTGTATTCAAAATTTTATTTAAAACATTAATTTAATTGCACTCATGCCACCTCTGAGCCTCATTGAATGTCTGAAAATTTACCTACAAGCCACTTTTGTGTTCTTTTTGTGCACCCTCTGTAGTACAAATTAATTTTTCATTAATACTAATTTCATGATTGGTAACTTATTTGTCTTATTCTACTTCTTATTATATTGTTTTAAATATAAATTTTAAAAAGCTTATAAACATACATTTTCGAATTTTACAGATGAAAATTATGCCATTGCAAAGGTAAAAAGAAAATGCCCCTGTAAATCACTTGACCTCATATTACGAAGGCTAATTTTTGATCAGAATTTTTGATTATTGATCAGAAGGTGCTCCTTAATTTTTTTTAATTAGGAGGACAAGCGCTCTTGATTACAAGAAGAAAAACACTGCTCTTAAACTGGGTGTGTGACAGGTATGGCTGAGGAATGGGGTTTGGCTGAGGAAAAATTCAGTCAAAAGATTTTTTTTAATTTTTTTTAATTTTTACACCAGACATATATATCGGTTCTCGGTCTACTTGATCTGTAATAATCGGTATCGGCCTTGAAAAACACATCTCGGTCGACCCCTACTTTGTATTGTATTAAAAATATTTTGCATAAAGAAAACCTAATCTACTATTAGGATCAAATGTTTTGCATTGAGAATTTCAGAACAATTCAGCAGATTTTACTTGTGTTTCTATTTTTATCAGAGCATTTTAATGAGAATGAGTACAGTATTGGGCCCGATAATGATGCCAGTATCAATAACGGTGCATCCCTAACTACATCAAAACTTGCATTAATTTTAATAATTAAATTAACATTACATCAAATGTCATACATATCACAAATCCAACATTTTTTTACTAGTCCTAAAAGTATATATTTTTATGATTTGTTTTTCCAGGGGTAAAACATGAACATGACTAATTTTGATAAATATGAAAAAAAATCCCTTTGAACAGAAAGGCATAGAGAACAAGGCACAGTCTTCATAATCGCTGACTGCATCTTCGCTCTATATCTGGGACACTGTCAAGATATTTTTACACTGAGAAAACATTGAAATACAAGCACTGAAGAACAAACCCAGTACAGAAGCAGCACACCAGCATGGGCTTATCGGAGAATATGCTCTCATGAAGGATAAATCTGTACGCTCTCCCTGAACTGACCTTCTTTTTCTCTGTATGACTAAACTAATCTTCTGGAACTAGCATTCTGAATGCCCCCCACCCTTCCAACCCTAAACCCGACTGACCCCTCCTCATTGTCATGTATGGCTGGTCATTCTGTCATTGTTGTAAGAATATTAAGAACTGCAGGAACAGAGGGCTAATTTGCATGTAATTATAATACATTTTAGAGAAAGGCAGGGCGTGAACAAGACAGAAAGAATGGCAGCTCGTTTTGAAGCGTGGAAACAGAAAGGCTTTCTCCCCTTCTCACCTTTTCTTACTCTACAAGGTTATCTGTCCAACAAGATAACGAGGATCCAGAACTCTGAAGCTCGTTACTTAGACCTGGGGGTGGATGGCGCCTAATTAATCATTGATTGTAATATGGCCACTCACAGAGTCTGAGCGGGGCGATCTGGGCTGGAGGAGGGAGTCCAGTCTCATCTAAGCTCTCTGTATCTACAGACCCCTTCCGCACATTGATATATAACGAGGCCGCCTCCCTTGTGAAGTACAACAAATAATTCAACAGAGATATTAAAACCAGCTTATACTCACACTGCCATCACTACGCTGGCCTCCTTTATGCGTGATCACCACCACCTCCATCCATTTACGCAGATGTTGCTGCAAGAGCAGAAGAAACATGGAGTCTGCTCTTGGTCACAGAATTTATATACAGTCTTTTATATATTATATATATATATTTTTTTTTTGGAGGGGGGGGGATTATAGAAATTAATACTTTTATTTAGCAAGGATGCTTTAAATTGATCAAAAGTGATGATAAAGATATTTACAATGTTACAAAAGATTTCTATTTCAGATAAATGCTGTTCTTCTGAGCTTTCTATTCCTCAAAACACCTGAAAATTCTACTCAGCTGTTTATAACATAATAATAAAAATAAATGTTTTTGAGCAGCAAATCAGAATATTAGAATTATTTCTAAAGGATAATGTGACTGGAGTAATGATGCTAAAAATTCAGCTTTGAAATCACAGCAATAAATCACATTTTAAAATATATTCAAATAGAAAACAGTTATTTTAAATAGTAAAAATATTTTAAAATTGAACTATTTTTGCTGTACTTTGGATCGAATAAATGCAGACTTGGTGAGCAGAAGACACTTCTTTAAAAAAATTATAATAATTTAAAATCGTACTGTTCAAAAACGTTTGACTGGTAGGTGTATACATAAAATAAATTAATTATTTTAGAATTATTTTTTTGTTACATTTAATTTTATTAAACTTAAATATGTATTTAAGAAGCCATTAATTCAGTCTTCTGTGTTTACATCATTCTTCAGAAATCATTCTAATAATCTGATTTGGTGTTTAAGAAAAAAATTCTTATTATCAATGGTGATTTGTCCTTACCATCATTTGGTCACAGAATTTGTCATTGAAGGAGTTGGGGAAGAGACGAGTGACAGATGTCAGTCTGTTGACCACATTGAGTGTCAGACTGCGATAGTCTCCGAGCATCATCAGCAGGGGCCGCATGTGTGTATGGATCTGATCCACCTCGATAGTAGCCCCCTCTAAGAACTGAGAAACACATTTGAACATGAACACACACTCAGACTTCAAAGCATATATATAGCCATTAAACAGCCCATGAGAGCTTAATAGAGACAGCTGCTTTTACATGCCCTACAAGGAAGACTACAAGATAATAGCATCTTAAAACCCTGTTTTTCTCTACTGTCCTGTCAATTCACAGGAGCAGAAAAACTCTAAACCCAGCGCAAAAAGAAAGGCCACACCAGCCTTCCGCAATGAGACGATGCATCACGGCCAAATTCATTTTCCTCTCAGCCTGTTTCCCTCCATCCTGTATTGATCTTTTCAGGCAGGACTCATTAGAGGCAGCAGGGCAGAGGAAGAGTGTGCGGAAGAGACTGAGAGATAGGAGAAAGGAAATGAGGCTTGTGGAGGAAGAGGGTTTACCTTTCTCATGCAGGCCTCTCCGGCCTCCTGGAGCTCACTGTTAGTGGAGTTGAGGGCCTTGAAGAGGGCAGCAATGATCTTCTCTCGGGATTGGGGAAGGTAGTTACAGGCCGCCAGGGCGTCTGAACAGACACACACGGAAGGGTTAAACAGAAAAAATGATAAAGACGGACACTCAGGCCCTAATATTCAGCACACATTTTTTATTTTATTCCAGTTATGTGGCAGACACCAAAAACATTTACATTTATCAGTATGTGACAGTCACTTAAGAAGTTTCAGGTCACTGTTCTAAAACCTAGTGAGCTGCCTATGTATGCAGCATGTTAAGGCATCCCAGGCACACTACAAACAGAAAAGTAAGTAGTATGATATTGTAGCATTCTAAGATATCAAACCTTGAAGGCAGCACTGAATATATCCTCAGCAGAAAACGCAATGTCTATTACAATATGAAGCAGTACAACTTTTTTCATCAATAAGAATGTTTCTTGAGCACCAAGTCAGCATATTAGTATCATTTCTGAAGGATCATGTGATACTGAAAACTGGAGAAACGTGCTGTAAATTCAGCTTTGCCATCACAGGTAAAAAAAAATTTTTTAATATATTAAAATAGGAAATAGTTATTTTAAATTGTAATAATATTTCTCAAGATTGCTGTTTTTACTGTATCTTTGAGTCAAATGAATGCAGCCTTGGTGAAGTTAAATCTAATTAAACAAGGACTACTTTACCTTAGCACCATGCTAACAACAAACTTGCAATCAACTGTGTGTGGCGGTTCATTTGTATACATATAGAGTTGCTGCCTATTTAAATTCTTCCAAATCAATCGCTTATCAGGATCCATTTCAATTAGCATGCAGCCTTAGAAGGAAGGTGCCTGCCTATGTAGGCAAAAATCAGCCAGGCAGCTCACTAGCTCACTAATAAAAAAAAAGTAGAACATACTGAGAGCAGCAATGCGCAGCGGCACCAGTGAAAGAAGGCTTTTATAACAGGGCAGCTTCATCAAAGCAGCATCCTCAGCTTCACACAGGTTCAGCAACTATCAAATCAAAGATACTGGAGCTCAGAGAGGAAGCACACAGAGCATCAACACATTGGTGATTTCATATTACCCACTTAAAAGCAGAAAGTTTCCGACTGACCTCTGTGTAAAAGACTTTGTGCTCCACCACATTGAGGTCCATGGTGAAGAGGCGGGGTTGTAGGGTGGTGCAGAAGGTGTTGCCCTCCATAAGGCCGATCTGAGCATTGGCCGGCTGATGTCGCAAAAGGTGTTTCTTTGGAGGAACCATGTCCTGCAGGACCTGGAGGAAAAAAACTGAGTTTTAAACTTTCCCTGAATAGAGAAGGAAGCTGACTGGCCTAATGTTCCTTCCTTGCAAGAGTTAACTATAAGAATTGTGTGATAGCCCTGGGCTCGTGTTGATAGAGTTGATGGAAAGGCCACTTGGCCAGTGTAGAATTATCTAAACTTACAAAATATAAGTGTGTTGTGAAGTAAACAATTGTTTTTCTGTGAAATATTGTAGCCATGAATTGTGCTGATTTAAGTCAACATCATATTAAGCTGACAGATTATGTTTTGCAAAAAAATGCTTGTCAAATTAGAGTATATTAATTCTTGCAAAACCTAGTTATTTAACTATAAAAATGTAAAACAAATGAAAACACTGATATTTAATTCGAATTAAATAAAAATAAATAAATCTGAAAAATCAGTTGCAAATAGTTTCTATTTTAGCACAAAAAAAAATCAAAATAAATATAAATCTAACATTAATTTTTAATCATTTTAATAATTTTTTGTTGTAAATGGTTTCTTTATTAGAAAAGAAATATCCCTAACCCTAACGTAAATGAAATATAATTAATAAAAACCTCATTAATACAACTCTTTTTTTCTAGCAATAATATGTTTTTAAAAATATAAATGTATCATTTTAAATAGTGGGGCCAGGAAAAATGTTGGCAGGGCAAGTAAAATTCTGGCAGGGTCAGCAAAGAAAGTCCTGCCACAGTCCTTAATATCGCATTAAAAAATACCACACTCACTTCTTTATGAGGCTCCATGATAATGGTGACGCTCTTGCCTGTGACTTGAGCCAGCACCTGCAAGGAGTGCATGGCCTGCTTGCGGACAGTGGAATTGGGGGAGGTGACCTCCCGTACCAGGTCATGAGTCACCAGATGGAAAGATTTATCCTGGGCAGACAGAAGCTCCTCAGTCTTCTCCTCATCCTTAAGAGGAGTGGCACAGCGTATCAACAACTGCTCCAGCGTGGTCTTTGCCATTGCAACTGCGCCATTAGACACCTGTGAGAGCCATCGTGGGATACAGAAGTTCATGCAGGTAACCCAAACATCAATGATTTCTAATGAAATTACAAAATGTTTGTACCTCTCCTGTGAGGTCCATCATGACGAAGAGCAGAGCTTTCAGGAAGGTCAGCTGGTTTTGCAACACCCAGATCAGAGGAAGCCTCTCCATCAGGAACTTAATGGACACCACTCCACCCAGCTTAGCATACCAGGCCTGCTCATAGCAGCATGCGCAAAGCCGCTCCACAATGTAGGAGAACAACGGCAGCTGGCACGCCTGAAGAAAGAACCAGATTGAGTTTCAGAAGAAGACCTTTCACGTGGCATCTATCTATTAAAGAAAAAAAGTTTATGGGAAGACAAATTTCAAAAGAAGTCCTCACCCTTTCCTTGGAGCCCAGGATAATGCTGGCAACATCAAAGATGACAGCAAGTGCCACTTCCCCAATCTTGCACAGCTCCTTCTCCTCGTAGGCCATGCATATGGCGATGGCGTCGATCAGCACGAGGGGGTCCATGCCTTTGGAGCCGTTCTCTTCACTGTGAAACATAGCCGTGCTGGGCTGGCTGCCTGGCTGGTAGCATGGCAGCAAGAAGGGACCTAGGGCAGAAAATTGAGTTATGTGATGATCTGAGTGTACTTCGGATGTTTCTCACACAGACAGAAAATAAAAACTTACATTGTTGCTGCTAAACAAAAACTCATTAAATAATTTTAAAATAGGATGTGCTAAAAGTCAAGCAATGTCACTTGTCACAAGCTATGTCTCTGCTGCCAATAGAAAGTTACTCTTTAAGGCTGTTGGAACACTTAGGTATATTTCATTAGCTAAAATAATAATATTTTTTTATGATACAATAGTAATACTACTAGAGTAAAAAAAAAAAAAAATTATTTTATTTATTTCAATGAATTTTGCATCCTTATGCAGACTCAAATGTAGAAGAAAGATTTTCTGAGTCATAGGTGAAGGAACAGACAGCTAAAGTCAATCCTCACATCCATTATTTTCCGTACAACTGAAAAATCAGAAATTCAGTCCAGGTTAAAATTTGTGGGGATAAGGACTTCATACTGGGACAGGTTGGACATTAAGTTCTTAGCTCAGGAGGAGTATTAATTACCATTTTGTACGATCCAGACATCAAGCATTTCTTTCCACAAGGTCATAAATTATATTCATTATATTCATTCAAGAAAATGAGTGAAAAAAATAACAGTAATGCAGTGGTTCTAGATACCTTACTAATATTAAATAACTACCAATGTTAGCACAGTTAAAGGGGTCATGTGATGCGATTTCAAGTTTTCCTTTCTCTTTGGAGTGTTAACAAGCTGTTCGTGAATAGATAAGATCCCTAAAGTTGCAAAGACTTAAGTCTCAAACCCAAAGAGATATTTTTTATAAAAGTTAAGACTCGTCCACACCCTCCTAAAAACGCCTCATTTAAACACGCCCCCACATTTCTACGTCACGATGTGGGAAGATTTTCATAACGCCACCCAAATGTATACGCAAAGAAAGAAGGCGTAACTTTGATTCTTGCTGTTGTATTGTTGCTGCCGCCGCCATGTCGTATGTGATGCTGTGTGTTTCGTTGTGAAAGCGAAACTACTTTGGTCTTCCAAAAGAGGACACAACTAGAAATCAGTGGTTAAGTTGTATTTATAACACGGTTCCAGAACAGTTCAAACCAAATATTCAGATGTGTGCAATGTATTTTACGGAGGACGATGATTGTTTCCTGGAAGAGTAGCCTACAATGCCGGTGTTCCGGTGAATTCAGTTCCCGTTTCCCATTCGGCGCACATGCTGACCACAGTCTATGATGTTGACAAATAATGCTGACTCACAGCCTGAAGGTACGTTTTCATATTTAAAGGATTTGCCTCTGACGATTCAAACGTGAGTTTTGGGCAGTGTAGAGTAGGGCTTGTTGTTTGTCGTTTCTCCGATCACAAATGCAGACATGGTTTTATGTTTACGTGGCACGATGCAACGCAACGTGGAAAAAGACCGTATAAGTAATTATAATCCGTAATTATGTGTAATGTGTTTTTTGAACCTACATTGCATTACACCAAATTTTATTTTTAGCAACATCATATGACCCCTTTATATCTACCTCACGCCCCCACATATCTTCCTCACTATGTGGAAATATTTGCATAATGCCGCCCAAATGTGCACGCAAAGAAAGAAGGCGTGGTTTCAGTAACCGCAGTTAGTGTTGAAGCAGTCATGTCAGGGAGACGCTGTGTGTTTCTAGGTGAAAGCAAAAGCACTTTATTTGGCCTTCCGAAAGTAGATGCATTTAGGAATCTTTAAGATTACTTACAACAGAACAGCAATGCATTTTATGGACGACCGTTTCGTGAAATTAGGAGAGGAGGTAATTCTGACTTTGCTATGACAATCTGGCGCTTCTGAATTAGCTACTGTTTTGTTATTAATTTAAGTATTTGCTATTGACTGTTCAAATGCGGAGTTTTGCGCATCGTGTGCGCGCGTGTGTGTGTGCGCGCGAGCGAGCGAGCGAGAGAGAGAGAGCGCGCGAGTTAGAGAGAGAGAGAGACATCACAGTGGAGTCAGCTGTCTTAACCGTGGCTTGTGTACTGCACACATACCAGCTTCATCACTGTGTCTGTCACGCGACTCTGTTCCCCTTTCGGGCACTGTCTTTACATTTATTTTGAAAGATGAAGCTCGCGATTATGGTAAGGGGCGTTACATTTCCGACGAGTGCTTGCAGTGTTCAGCCAATCACAATGCACTGGGTCAGCTGGCCAATCAGAGCAGACTGCGCTTGTCGGAAGGAGGGACTTTGTAGAAAACGAAGCGTTTGAGAGAGGCGGGGCATAGAGGACCTACAATAATGTACAGTATTTGAAAAATAATGTGTTTTTTGAACATTAAAGCATGTCAACATATTCTGTTATACCAAATACACAAAATAATGATCTTTAAAAAAGCATCATATGACCCCTTTAAAGGGTTAGTTCACCCACGTTGTGGTACTCTCATGAATGCCTATCAAAGACTGACACGGAAGAGAATAAATTGTTGAAAAAAGTGTTTTCTTTGCACACAAAAACTTTTCGTAAAATCATAAAATTGCGGTTGAATCACTGATATCACATGAACTATTTTATTGATGTCCTCACTACCTTTCTGGGCCTTGAATGTGGTAGTTCCATTGCTGTCTATGCAGGGTCAAAAAGCTATCGGATTTCATAAAAAATATCTACATTTGTATTCAGAAGATGAAGGAAGGTCTTACGGATTTGGAACGACATGGGGGTGAGCAATTAGTGACAGAATTTTCATTTTTGGGTGAACTATCCCTTTAACCTAAATCCCTCTCTAAACATTGCATGGGTAAACACTTCAAGTCATGTTAAGACTGAACTTCAATATAGATGGCACTAGCACAGAGGCAGAAATATTCCTCACCACACTGCTGAGCCACTGCCACCATAGTGTAATGGCGGATCAAGCTGGCAACAAAAGGCAGAGCGCTGGGCCTGAGATCCTTGATGACTGCGGACATGAACGCCCCCGTCAGGGCTTGCTCGAACGTCCTGCGTGCCGGGGTGTCCTGGGCTTTGTACCGGTGTGAGATGATCACGTTAGGGATCCACTTCTCTGTGAAGCTGTTGAAAACCAGCAAAGGGATTTAGCTCATAATTCGCATTGCATCCATGAACTCGCTCCATTACATGCGCCTGAGGTTGAATAACCCAATCAGGCGATTTGATTTGATTACAGAGTATAAAAGGCTTTTTGTGTTTGGACAGCTGAGCCCCATGGGAGTCTGGCTTTGTGTCTGGCTGACATTTTGTCTCATGTTTGGTTATTTATCCCAGCTGATAGCAGCACAGTGATAGAGTGAGTATTTTATCCTTCCTCAAGCCTGTGTTCTATAATGCCAAAGCCGGTAGCAGTGGTGATGGATCGCTCCATTTCATTATCGCTATTTAAAAGGCTTGGCGTAGGGAGAGGACTGAGCGGAAGAGAGCGGTCAGATCAATTTAAATTCATAACGCTGCCACTTGAATGGAACTCAATTATCCGGCCTGGCATTTGCGATATTAAGAGGGCATTCTGCCTTCTGAAAAAGGCCTCTTGCATGATGACCAGCACAGTGTGCCACACTGAAAGAGGGAGAGAGGATGTCATGAATCAAGACATCTGACAGCGGCAGCAGCTCTCCTCCCATATAACTGACACTCGGTTATTTCGGAAGGGGCCCGTATGACTGGCTTTTGGGGTAAACAGATAAAGTACAGTCAATTAGCCTCAGCGTGGAGATCAATGACTCTGTTATGTGACCCTCCAGCCCGGCCAGTAGAAACGGCTCTGAGTAATTAGCCCTTTGAACACTGTAGACAGTGGCGGCCAGGCTGGATGAGGCCCAGAGGAGCTGCAAACATAGCAAAAATAGTGAAAAATAGAGGCAGGTTTTAGCCTCACAACGCACAGGAACAGGGTTGCAACTAATAGTTATTTTGATAAACGAATTAACTGTCAATGATTCCCATTAATAAGGTTTTTAAAAACCCAAATGGATTTTCTGTATTTTTAATATATATATATATATATATACACAGTGGGTACGGAAAGTATTCAGACCCCCTTAAATTTTTCACTCTTTGTTATATAGCAGCCATTTGCTAAAATCATTTAAGTTAATTTTTTTTCCTCATTAATGTACACACAGCACCCCATATTGACAGAAAAACACAGAATTGTTGACATTTTTGCAGATTTATTAAAAAAGAAAAACTGAAATATCACATGGTCCTAAGTATTCAGACCCTTTGCTCAGTATTTAGTAGAAGCACCCTTTTGATCGAATAAAAATTTAAGGGGGTCTGAATACTTTCCGTACCCACTGTATATATATCTGTCTTTTAAAATACCCTGTGGATGCATCTACAGTGGGGAAAAAAAGTATTTAGTCAGCCACCAATTGTGCAAGTTCTCCCACTTAAAAAGATGAGAGAGGCCTGTAATTATCATCATAGGTATACCTCAACTATGAGAGACAAAATGAGAAAAAAAATATCCAGAAAATCACATTGTAGGATTTTTAAAGAATTTATTTGCAAATTATGGTGGAAAATAAGTATTTGGTCAATAACAAAATTTCATCTCAATACTTTGTTATATACCCTTTGTTGGCAATGACAGAGGTCAAACGTTTTCTGTAAGTCTTCACAAGGTTTTCACACACTGTTGCTGGTATTTTGGCCCATTCCTCCATGCAGATCTCCTCTAGAGCAGTAATGTTTTGGGGCTGTCGCTGGGCAACCCGGATTTTCAACTCCCTCCAAAGATTTTCTATGGGGTTGAGATCTGGAGACTGGCTAGGCCACTCCAGGACCTTGAAATGCTTCTTACGAAGCCACTCCTTCGTTGCCCGGGCGGTGTAAGTTTGCAAGGTATGTTTAAATTATATAACGTTAAATGCGTATTTGCTGAATGCTGACGGCAAACGAGAAAGTATTAAAATGTTTACCTTTCTATTACTAACAATATAAAAGCAATCTTTATAATACTTTTTTGTATACATTTTAATTCCTTTGTTTAACAGTTCTATCTGATTATTAGACAGATTTCTGTCCATGGACAGAACTGTTAACGGTGACAGCGAACAAGAGAGAGAATGTGAGCATTGTGTGTTCAAGCGCTGCCGTTCTCAGTGGCGTCAAAATAAAAGTCCCGCCACGAACGCATCAGCCAAACAAAAAAACTTATCGGCCGATGCCGATATTTGAAAAATGCCAAATGATATATCGGTCGACCTCTAGACGATATAAACACATACGATTATCAGGTATTGGGAGAAAATAACAGATGCAGAATCTCATCTGCGCCCAGGCAACAACTTTCCACTTAACTGTTCTCTTGCTCCACCCCCACGTACAGCGGAGACAACATCAGAGACAGAGGCCGTTATCTCTAATCTCTATCCCACGTCAAAATATGAGTTAAAATTGGCAGTATGGGAATACTTTGGATATAGAAAAGACTAACGCCTTTTTGTCCTCGAGTATAGACACAGTTCGCAAAAACTGTGTTCGGAAAGCGGCTGCAAAAAGAGGAAACACATCAAACATGTTTACCTATATTTCAGAACACCATCCCTCCGTGCATATACAGCTATGTCCCATTTATAACTTAAAGGTCCCATGGCATGAAAATGTCACTTTATGAGGTTTTTTAACATTAATATGAGTTCCCCTAGCCTGCCTACAGTGGCTAGAAATGGCGATAGGTGTAAACCGAGCCCTGGGTATCCTGCTTCGCCTTTGAGAAAATTAAAGCTCAGATGGCCCAATCTGGAATCTTCCCTTTATGTCGTCATACGGGGAAAGGTTACCTCCCCTTTCTCTGCTTTGCCCGCCCAGAGAATTTGGCCCGCCCATGAGAAAATGAGCTACTACCGTGCGAGGCGAGCGCAATATATTTTTTTTTCCTCGAGAGACATCATGGCTTGCAAACGAGCGAAGCATGGCAGTTGCCCCGCCTCTCTCCTCCTCATTAGCATTTAAATCTACAGACACAGAAATGGCACATCCTAAGGAAAGCTCATTGTGGGACTGGCTCGTAGTGGCTGAAATTCTGCACCAAGGCTGAATTTCGGGAAAGAGACTTCAGATGCAGTACTAGGGACCACTTAGGCCTATATAAAAGCATCCAAAAAGCAGCATGTCATGGGACCTTTAAGGTTAAAGCCTTATGATTTCCGTGAATCCCAGAATCGAGTCATGACAATGAATTTACAGTAGCTAGCTACAATGCAGAGGTCACATAAAATGTGCGATTTGATGGATTGATGAATAAATCAAAAACAGAGCTGTAAAATAATGAAAAAAACACTGCTATATAAATATATAATCTGTGTGTTTTGCGTGTCTCTGTGAATGAGCAGCGCTGTGTCGTGTACTACATACTCAAGTATGCGCCGGCATCGCTCAGTGTTTAACAGCGCCTGCTGTCTCACTATCTGAGGACGTGAACACAAACACTGAGAGCCTCACTGAGAGAACAATTAATAATAATTTCATCATTTTATTTGAGAAAACCACTGTCAAATACATTGACACTCAAAGCTCTTCACTACAACCCATCAAAATAAAAGTCCACTTTTTAACTCAAAGAAAATGACAGAAATTACGATAGTACTATAATGTAGCCTACTTCTAAAATAATAATTTACATAAATATTTTTAAGGAATATAATTTTTTCCCTCATTTGTATTTAGTAAATCTCTGTTGTGCAGCCCTTTGCAAAAACATAAAAGGATAAAGGTTATTTTTATGTGATTACATCTTAAAACATTAATTAAATTGTTAAAGCTTTATGCATTCATTTCACTACCACCATTTTTGATCGTATATTTGTATTAAATCATAAAAGTACAGAATCAAGAAAACTTAAGTCAAACCAGAATTTATGAATTTTTATGAATTATTAATGATAAATATATGTTGTTAAACTAATAAATAATCAGTGATGAAATTTTATTGTTTTTGATTAATGAAATTTGAATAAACATGCTTTCAAACACTTGTTCAACCCCCCCAACTTGATGAAATCTAACTTGTCTTTTTTCCCCAAATAAACTTGGGAGGAAAAGTATTGTGGCCTCTAGCCACACTGAAGAAATTACAATAAAACGAAAATGTATTATTATTATGGCTCCCATCCAAAATCTAGTCAGCTACCTTGCTGTCTACATAGTAAACTGCTTTCTAAGAAATCAAACAGAAACAGAACCTTTTAAGTGACTGACTTATAACCCACTACAAATAAAAAGTGCTATTGACACTTTGCTGTGAAGCTAACAATACGCTGCATTATAGTTTTAATGTTCTGTTAAGAACAAAACACAGCATGCTCAAATACTGGACATAGACTGATTTTTTTTCAAGGGGATGCATGATAGTGATGGGTTGTTCTTGAATGATTAATTTATTTTGAATAAATCTTTAATATGACTCGGGAACAACGAGTTGTCTCAGAGAGTGATTTATTTATTCATTCTATGTTGACCGTGCATGCACAACATCCTATAGGTTCTCCCGACTAATCAATTCTGTTTCCTGTACAGACTACATAGCATTAACCTAAGGGGATGAGGTGTGACATAAGAACAAACGACTCTGGCCCGGGAGCTGAGGTGAACTAACAGACTGCATAGCCTGCAAACCCAGCTAAGCACTGAAATAATCATTTCTGTTACATGCAATTTGGTCTTGCTACATTATAGTTTCGACTTATTCAACATGTGATCAGTGTTTGTGTATGCAAATGTGTTGAGGAATTAGGATATTAACTTGTAGCTAAATGACTTGAAAAAAAGATTCAGAGATTCAAAGAACAGAGGCAGTAAAATGATCTGAACTTCCCATCACTAATGCAAGCTGTGTCTGTATCACCATTGATTACCAAGTGTTATTGGATTATTTTTAGTTCTATTGGACGGTAATGCAAATTGAATTTGTGTATGCTCATACTCTCTGTTGTTACATTTAGATGCCATCTAAACCTTACCTTTGCCAACATCTAAAATAAACTTAGTAAATCTTTAAAATCACTAATTTAACACCATAAAAAATTATTCTACATTTTTACCAGAGTAAATCAGTTTTAGAATTTAAAACAACTTATTTAATTAATTTCATACATAACATGAAAATAATTATCAGCTTATATGTATCAGATAATAATTTTAATAAACATCTCTAATATTACAATTCATACATTTCATCAATAAATAAATGTTTATTTATAGTCAACATATCGCTTTGCCATTCGTCAATGGCACCTCTTCAAAATGTCTAGACTCTTATATCTTGATAATCTTATTGTAATACTTTGAGGGATGGAATATCATAATGCTCCAGTCTTATAAGTTTGGTTTTATCAATTTATTATTTTCTCTCTTTTCTCAGTGCCTGTATCCTTCTATTGTTGGAAGTGCAGAACTTTGTGCGTTTGGTTTTATGTAGTAAGTGGTTTAAATGTGAATTGAAAAAAAAACATTTGCAACCCCCTTTTTTTTTTTTTTTTTTTACTTAGTCGAAATGCATTCTGGGATTGCCTTCTCTGCGAAGCACAGCATGTACCCCACTTTAGAATTTAGCCCAAATGAGTCATGACTGTGCTGCCTACTTTTTAAAAAGACGCGTAAGGCCCCGATATACTTCAAACGAAGTTCGTTTTCGTTCTTCTTTGGGGGCAAATAGAAGTTCGAAAAGGCTGAGCGACGGTATACTGTTTTCGAACATTCCAACACCCCCGCGCTGCTGGAGGCGGGGGGTACATTAATGTAAACATGTCGCCCCGCTCACGCGTATGCCCTAAACACAACAACGATGCAATGATGGTGTATCTAGGTGTGAGACGGGTACCAATGGTCAGAATATTATAGACAAATTTTAATAATGATTAGCAGCAGTTCAGAGTCAAGTATCATGTTTGCAATACAAAAGAACCATTCCATTTCCATAATCAGTCCTTTAAGTGTGAATGGCTCATAGTCTGAAAACTTTAGCATGATGTGGAAAAAAATATCGGAGTCATCTCAATAACACAAATCTGTTTGTTACTTTATTCTATTAGTGTTCATTTATTTTATTAAACTGGATAAATTATTACACCTTTTTATATTTTATGTGGTGTCATGATTTGATCAAATCAAAGGTTTATTATTGTAAGTTCTTTTGGCATTTCATTTATTGTATACCTTTTAAATTGAAAGGACAACGGCAGCAGCAGTATGGTGTAACATTTATTTGAAACTCATGTATTTGGTACTTGCTACCTTATATCTTTACTCTTTCCTTTCATGGCTTTGGAAAACTTGCATCTGAGGTTTCTCTACGTCGCTTTTTGCATAACTCTGGGTCGTCGACACCAAGTTTCGTTGCAATTTCTTTCTAGGAATTAAATGCTTTCTCTGAATCTTTAAAGTCTCTCCGCGAGCGATCGTACAGGTGTGGATATATTTGTGGCAGCTCAGCTATTCGACACAGTGTATTTATGTGGGGGGGGGGGCACAAAAATAGAAATCGCACGTCAAAGAGGGTGGAGTTCCAGAACACACCCACCGACTGCGTAATCGCCACGGACCAATGGAATCTCAAAGGTGTGTAGGAGCCAAAACGAATTCCACCAGAAAGTTTGCTTTGGTGAGCTGTTTTGAACTGCTGAAACGAACTTAGTTTCGGCCTAATTTTGTTCGGAATTACATCATATCAGTTCGTTCTTCGATTTCGTTTGAAGTATATCGGGGCCTTTAAGTGGATCAGCAAAGCCTTGCAGCGCTGCCTAACTAGGCTTTAGAGATTAAATGTGTGCCCTGCGAATTGCACAGACTGCTTATACATGAAACATAATATTGGTTTAGAGAGGGTTAATCTGCATTCTTACCTTAGCGTCTCTCTTGCAGTGTATCCTGAGCCAATGAGTATTGACTCATCGAAAAGCTTGTCCATGCATGGAATGAATTCTGCAACACAAACAGACTTCATCAGATGCCATCGCAGGCTCTGAAGCCCACCCGAAACAGCTCAGGGGCCCATGAACCATGAGATACATCAATGCCAGACCTCAACATTCAGAGTTTCTCATCGATTCATTTAACCTTCTCTACAGGATTAATGATTTAGAAGAGTGTATCAGATTCCTCTCTCAAATGCTATTGATTGAGAGGTGAAGCTCAGAGAACGCAGCCGTTACATATCAAAGCGGTACCCCATGAAGCTCAGCGGTGTAATTAACACCAGATGCGAGCGCTCCTACAATAGCGAGCGCTTTGCATATCTTATTTGGGAATATCTGCCAACAATCTGCAAAGTGTTTGGCGGTGGATGACTCACGGCTGCGTAGATCTGTGGTGAGAATGTGCTTGGCAGCGATCAGCAGCTCTTTCCGCAGGTGAGCCGTCTCAGGGGGGCAGTTAGACAGCAGCTGCAACATCCCCTTCACCATCTGCTGGGAGTACTTCCCAACCAAGTCCTGACACACACACGTTTCACATGGCCACATTAGTCACTGCTTGAGTATTAAAACAAGTTTAGAAAAGTTTAATAAACAGGTGGTTGGGCTACGTTTCTACCTGGTAGATCCGGATAATGTAAGCCAGGAATGACAGGGTCTTGATCTGTGCTGCAATAAAATCTGCATAAAGCTCCTTGTTGAACAGCTTGTGTTGCCTGTCACGGACAGAAATCAGGAAAAGCTTTAAATGTCACTACGTGTTAAATTGCACCTATGACATCCTTTCCTGTGCATTAGTGGTGATGTAATACCACACGCTCAACAAGATGCAAGAGGTCACTGACCGAGCCTGTGGAGACACCTGCAGCATGATGGTGTTCATGATAAGAGGCACAAACTCTGACACCGCATTGTGAATGTTCAGTTTGTACAGCTAGGGGGGGGAAAAAAAATTTTTTTTTTTTTTTAAATCGCACAGAAAGGCAATTACTGCATCAAATAACAGCAGGGCGATAGACAGAGAGTAGACTCGAGCTTGAAACATTGTTGCGTAAAATTGTACATAATTTATAAGATTCATGCATTCAGAACAGAAATTTAGATTCGGACTCAAAGGCAAACTCCACCAATACGTCAAAGCATTTTAAAAACAAATCATAAAACCTGAAGATTTAAGACACTACACCATGTAATAGGTTGAAAATTGTCATGGCATATTTCTGAAAGCAGTATCTGTGATTTTTGTGGGTCCTGCATTTTAAGCAGAAAATAGAAGTACACCTGCTGGTCAAATGTATAATGATAACATGCGGAGAAGGTGAAATAAAAGCTGTCAAAGTGTTTTGATTGATCGTAGCTTCCTAACAGCTGTGGACTGACATTTTCTGTCTCAAAACAGATTTCCTTTACAATTAAAGCTCATAACAACAAAGGCAAAAACATCTAATCACAGCAATCATTTTGATAAGAGTGGCAGGTTTGAGGAAGCAATGGATTTAGCTATAAAGTATGGGTTTCAGATGACTGACAGCACCTTTTATAAATGAGCCAAATGTCTAAATGAGAGACGTGTACTTTTAAAAAGAGGATGGCTGGCATAAAGTCAATACTGAATGAGTGATTTTATGGGCTCTCACCTGATACATGAGGACGACAATGATGGGCAGCTCTGCCAACACTTTGAGTGACAGCGATCCCCGGGGGATTATGGTATGCTAGAGGACAAAGAGGAGATGGATGAGGCCACTGAGAGACTGAACCAGTTGTCACCATAAAACGTATTTTTTAGCACTCATATTGATTTGCTTTTTGTGTTGAAGAGAATAAAAATAAAAAAAAGCAACTGCATTCCAGGACCTCTTAAGCAGAAAAAGCATAAGCAGGAATTCAGTGCCCTCTAGTGTCTACATATAGTAAATATTCTTTGCACTGGTATACTCTGCAAAGTAAACAGTCCACAAAGACCCTGATAACACATTTGTGTCAGCTGATCTGATCACAAGCGGTCAGCACAATATACATGTGTATTCAGGATTCAAAACATTTTGTGACTGAATGCACATATTGTGGAGGTCACAAATCCATGAGATAGAATTGTTTTTGTAGTATTATTAACTAACCATCTTGATGTATCCAAGACTGCAGTGAAAAACTATTTACTTGCCTGTCAATCACTGCACAAAAATTGTGTTTTGCCATTTATGAGCACCATGTTTAAAAAGAAAATAACCATCCAATTGAATAAATTGTATTTTCTGCTTTAGCAATATACATTTACACACTGATGTGTTATTACCAGGTGTAAATCGGCTGATCAGCTGTAATCAGACCACGCAGTACAGGTCCACTGCATAGATACAGTATGTTAACAAGATCAAACAATTATACCATAATAACATTAGGTTACTTACTACTACTTAAAGTCAATACTGAATGAGTGATTTTATGGGCTCTCACCTGATACATGAGGACGACAATGATGGGCAGCTCTGCCAACACTTTGAGTGACAGCGATCCCCGGGGGATTATGGTATGCTAGAGGACAAAGAGGAGATGGATGAGGCCACTGAGAGACTGAACCAGTTGTCACCATAAAACGTATTTTTTAGCACTCATATTGATTTGCTTTTTGTGTTGAAGAGAATAAAAATAAAAAAAAGCAACTGCATTCCAGGACCTCTTAAGCAGAAAAAGCATAAGCAGGAATTCAGTGCCCTCTAGTGTCTACATATAGTAAATATTCTTTGCACTGGTATACTCTGCAAAGTAAACAGTCCACAAAGACCCTGATAACACATTTGTGTCAGCTGATCTGATCACAAGCGGTCAGCACAATATACATGTGTATTCAGGATTCAAAACATTTTGTGACTGAATGCACATATTGTGGAGGTCACAAATCCATGAGATAGAATTGTTTTTGTAGTATTATTAACTAACCATCTTGATGTATCCAAGACTGCAGTGAAAAACTATTTACTTGCCTGTCAATCACTGCACAAAAATTGTTTTGCCATTTATGAGCACCATGTTTAAAAAGAAAATAACCATCCAATTGAATAAATTGTATTTTCTGCTTTAGCAATATACATTTACACACTGATGTGTTATTACCAGGTGTAAATCGGCTGATCAGCTGTAATCAGACCACGTTTTGCCATTTATGAGCACCATGTTTAAAAAGAAAATAACCATCCAATTGAATAAATTGGGAAATAAATTGTATTTTCTGCTTTAGCAATATACATTTACACACTGATGTGTTATTACCAGGTGTAAATCGGCTGATCAGCTGTAATCAGACCACGCAGTACAGGTCCACTGCATAGATACAGTATGTTAACAAGATCAAACAATTATACCATAATAACATTAGGTTACTTACTACTACTAGAATACTGCCCTATTTTGTTCATTAAGACAAACACAGATCAGCATTTGAACACTCAGATCTGATCAGTTTTACTTTCAGCGTCCAGGCTTATTGGTACATTACAGTTCACTCACACACAATCACACATGCAGACACACAATCTTACACACAGTACCATTCTCTGGACTAAAGCACATCGCTCTCATCATTGTGTTTCTGCTGATCATGTTTGTCAAAACTATTCAGCTAATGAGGATTTTGTACAGGTCTGCTGGAGTTTGTACTGACCGTTCGGGTCTCGCTGTCCTCACGCTCCGGTGTGGTCTTCACTAATACTGAGGTGATCATGCCCACCATTTCTGGAGAAGGCACTGTGTTTTCTGCAATAACCTGAGGATTCTCAAAGTACCTCGTCTGACAGACAGATACACAAGTTCAGAAAACACATACTTTAACACAAACATACTTTTAAAAAAAAAAAGGGTTAAAAGACCTTACCACTACTTTTGGCAGTTCTTTGTAAATTTGCTTCACAAAGTCCAAGAAATGATGAATCTTTAAGAGTTGGCAGGAAGACGTTATTTAATAACATTTACTGAAACATAGGAAATGCAAATGCTAGTCAACATCACAAAGTGCCAGAAGGCTGCATCTTACCTCTTGAGAGATTGGCGGGCGAAACTGTTTGTGCAATTCAATGATGATGCGTAAACAAATGAGCACATTCTCCTCACTTTCAATCTAAATGATGAAACACAGGAGGCAAGAACCAATCACAGCCATTTTTTATATAAAACATACACACACTCATGCACAAGCACGCACACAAGATGATGCATTACATATGTAAACTAAATTAGATTTAATATTCCTTTGTAAGAGAACTGTTTTTGTTTTTTTTCATGTAGTTTGAAATGTTGTAATTTATTCCCATTATATGACTATGATTTTACTGTTTTTGTTTGTTTTTTCATTAAGACAAAACAATCAAGTCAGAATTCACACAGATCAGCATTTGGACACTCAGATCTTATCAGTTATGCTTTCAGCGCCCAGGCTCATTGGTACTTTACAGTTCTCTCACACACAATCATTCACACAGTACCATTCTCTGAACTAAAGTACATCTCTCTCATCATTGTGTCTCTGCTGTCCCTCTTGCATGTAGTTACATATACAAATATTTGTCCAAAAATGCTCTACAGCCTTTATTTTATAGGCTCTTTAAATTAGAATAAACTTGGCATTCAGGTAGCTGACCTCAAGGAAGCGGAACATGACAGAAAGGATGTTCTTGGCATGAGGCCGCAGATGTTCATTAGTTGGGATCCGGTGGATGATCTCCAGGACAAGTTTCCTTAATTGCTGTAACAAGAGTCAAAGAAACCTCATGTTTACTTAAATGTCAGGAATGAGGCCTCAATAAAGACAATATGCAATATGATTTTCACTAAAAAGCACACCTGCGTTGGTTTCTCTTGAAGGAACTGCACTTCTCCATCCTGCAGAAACGTTAGGAAACGAGGGATGATGTGCTCCAAGAAAGTAGAATACTGTGGCGAGGATGTGACATTCTGTGGACGAGGATTAACATGAATGACAATGAGGAAGCGTCTTTTATTTCAAGCTTTTTATAAACAAAATATAAGGGCTCACCTCAAAATTCTCACTGACTTCCTGCATCATTTTCAGTTTGGTCTCATCCGCTGATGTTTTAGCGAAAGAGAATCACAGTGGTAAGCAGAGACAATGCTTTAAACTAACATTGAAACTTTTTAGTTGAATGGAATACACTCACGCGTGTTGTTGTCAGTGAGCGCCGCCACGAACTGCAGGTATTTCTTCATAAGGGTGGTCTGATCCACCACAGTGGGGCTCGGGGTGGGCACGAAAGACATGGTGGTGGCCGGGACAGACAGGATTACGCTGAATAAGGGCAGACTAATGTCTGCGCTCGTCTCAGTAGAAATTCATGTCATCTGTAGGAGAGTAACCATAAGGGGAACGTCAATATTAGTGTCAGCCTTGCACAAACAGGTACAGTATCGTATCAGATGGTACCATCATGGTATTTTGACAGATGCAGCTGTACTGAATCATTACCATATTCACATGACAAGGTATTTACGTGATATTAAAGGTCAAAATGCATGGTAGTACCATCTAAACACACACACACAAAGATACATTATTGCCATTTGACTTTGCACGTAAACAACTTGTCTACATCACAACTGACTGACTGAAAACTATAAACATATAGAGAGAAATTTGAGATGAATAATAATGACACTATATTGTCTGCTTTATAACTGAACTTGGAAATAGAACTGAATTGGTTCATAATTGAAGAATTTTGCAACAAAGTACGTACTTGCCATTGCATTTATAGCAATTGCTAAATATCAAAACAAAACTAATGGCAAATAAATCAAAATCTCATCCAGCACAATTACTTACAAAGTGTTTTATGCAGACTAGTTTATAAGCTGACCTCTAGTTTAGGGAAGCGGTGGGCGCGCCAAACTGCAACAACACGCCTACTGCAGTCACGCTCGCTGACATGATATGATGCGCTCGTGCTAAAGTGCTAATATTAAAACCTAAATGAACGCCTCTATCACAAAGCTGCCATTAACACAGAGACTTTCGCTTCTCGGAAAGGATTTACATGTGTTTATAATAGTATTGCGTAAGCTAGCAGCACACCAGGCCAATCACAGAAGAAAGAGAATACTGTCGCTAACTGCTAACCCACACCATGTCATTATTCACATGCAGAACTCAGGCTTTGCACTTTTTACCTCAATTAGTGCAAATGTCTAAAGCGGTTGTATTTCACACAAAAGCTAATAAGGAACTTCTCCACTCATTATGCATATAAATTACCAAATCACTCCCCAAAACAGCAACAACTTACCAGCAAGGAGACCGGAAGGAGTTGTAAAAGAACTTCCGCTACACGTATGAAATTTAGTGGAAGGGCTGAAATCAATCCGCCGTTGTTTTGTTTGCTAATTGTGTGAATTGTTATACAGTGTAAACTGTAACGTGCGAGTTTTATGCTTTTGTACTAGTCTTTCTCAAGTGGAATTGGGTGCCACAGCCTTGTCCTAAGCAATGATTTTCAAATTTAGACACCAATATAGTTCCATGCGGAAGGATACCAAGAGAACGCAAGCGTGCGAAGACCATCGAAAACGATGGTCTTTCCCGTTTTCATTTAAATTGGTATATAACGTGTTTAATGTAACTTTATCACACCCCAGTATACAACATATTATTTTAATAATCGATTCAGCGCGATTTATAAATACTAAATCTGTTTATAAAAATGTGTGGCACGTTTGTGTTGAATCAGGTTTATATGATGCGCAGTCATTCTTGAGACGTGGGACAAAACAGGTCCAGCAAGGGTAACTGCTATTAGGTTTAAAAATAAAAATATTTTCAATTTTAAATGTCATGAGGGATTAATAATAGAATGTATTTAACACAATTATCACCTTCAATTTAATTTTCTCATTATTATACCAAATCTGTGTTTCTTAATGTCCTCTCACTACATCTAAAACGCTGTGTCCACAGAGAAGGGTTCAGTCATTAATATGCAATAAAATGGATAAAAAAAAATTTTTAATGATGAAAAAGAGCTTGTTTTTATCAAAAGCAACACTTAATAATATCTCCTATCAAAGCAAGGTTGTTTTTTAATGACACATGCATGTTTAATACGATTTTAAAGCTGCGTCCCCACTACATTCAATAAAATGTAATAAAATCAGGGAATATCAGGGGCAGCTGTCACTCTAAAGGACCCCTTGCCACAGTTCACCTCTGCAGAGTACATCAGTGTCAGACAGGCTCTGCTAAATTTTATGGTTTTAGAATATGTAGTTTCATTTGTCTGAGTACAAGGTTTTATTTTTTCAATTTTGCACCCAGTTTTGTTTCACTTCTCAAGAATGACTAAACGACATTAAAATGCTTCACCAGCTGCAGTGATGTGCGCTTTTTATTGGATCCAATAATGATTGTGATAATAATTAACCTCTTAAGACCCGGCAAAACATTTTAGGAAAAAAAATAAAATTTTTGATGTCATTACATTATTTAGAGCATTAAAAAAATTGTAAACAAAAACATGTAAATCATTCATAAGTTATGCTACGTCCTTGGTAGAGGACATCGGGACTCAATTTCTTTAAAAAATAAAAAGACATGAATGAACATGCATAGGCAAAAACAATTTTTTAGTTTTTGTTAAATGTTTTAATACATTTTTAGTTTTCAGCATTTTTTTTACCATCTTTGTATAACGATAATTCTCAATTATGTTATAACAGAATGATTTGATATACCATTTTTCTTCATGCAAAATGTGTGTAAAATGGCCACAAACAGGTTTTCTCATTATATATAATGGATCTATAAACTAAATCTAATTTGCATATTAATGTGTTTTTGGGGCAACATGTAATGAAAAATGAAGTGTAATATTGAGAGTAATAATTGGACATCGGGACTCAATTTCTTTAAAAAAATAAAAAGACATGATGAACATGCATAGGCAAAAACAATTTTTTTAGTTTTTGTTAAATGTTTTAATACATTTTTAGTTTTCAGCATTTTTTTTACCATCTTTGTATAAAGATAATTCTCAATTATGTTATAACAGAATGATTTGATATACCATTTTTCTTCATGCAAAATGTGTGTAAAATGGCCACAAACAGGTTTTCTCATTATATATAATGGATCTATAAACTAAATCTAATTTGCATATTAATGTGTTTTTGGGGCAACATGTAATGAAAAATGAAGTGTAATATTGAGAGTAATAATTGACAAGATTTTCATAATAATATATAATATTTCATAGGAATATTGAAATATATTTTCTTTCCCTATTCATTTGTTGTGTCTCCCAAAATGCGTAATAAACATGCTTTTAGTCCCGGTGTCCTCATATGAGGACATCTATGAAATCAACCTCCTGTTTCGTAACAGAAAGTCATATTTTGATTTGAAACCCCATAACATTTTTCTGAGATGTTGATTTATGGCACACATTTTAAAAATGAGTCCGATTTAAATGACAATTACAAAATATTATCATATTTCCATAAGAGTGTCACTAAATTAATATCAG